CCGAGATCATAAAGAGATTCAAATAAGGTTATATTAAAAAAAATATTCCAGTTCTCTGAATACGCTATGTCTTTTAAAAGAGGCAATAAATAAAAACATTAGTATTAATTATCATACAATCATATTTCCCCACGTAAAGGGAAGATATTATATAAAACATGTCTAGTTGAAATCAAATGTATACTGTAGCCCCAGTTATCAAGTATACAATCTTAATAAATGTTATTGACATTCATAAAAAAACATACTGGATAATCATAAACAGATGATGAATTAAATGTAGATATTTGAAATATCTTTCTTGAAGGGGGAGAGAGAGAGAGAGAAATGGTGTTTAACATCCACTGACACAAACTAGGTCGTTTCGGGACTAACATGGTTCAATTTTATTTCAATATTTCCCTTGCGTGTAGGTGTCTTTAGCAGTTGAAGGAAACTGGAGGACTTGGAGAAAACCCACGAGGTTGGACAGGCGACTCTACTCCTTGTCACGTAAAACCGAGGAATCGAAATCACGCCAGTTGACTCAATGACAGACTTTATGATACAACGCGCATGCGCTAACAATTCGGCCATCCTCCACCCACCCCCTTTCTTAAAGGATTGTTTGAGAGAGAGAGAGAGAGAGAGAGAGAGAGAGAGAGAGAGAAATGGGGTTTAAAGTCCACTCGACACAAACTAGGTCATTTTGGGACTAACATATGGTTTAATTTTATTTCAATAATTCGCTTGCTCGTAGGGGTCTTTAGCAGTAGGAGGAAACCAGAGGACCCGGAGAAAACCCACGAGGTTGGGGATTGTTGGAGAACCAGAATATTTCTTTTGTATAGCCTAAATATCACAATTGTATTTTAAAAAAACCAAAACGAATCTCAATTTTTTTATGAAATATACATGTTAAAATAACCATAGATAATGATAATCTGATTCAATTTATTTCATGAATTAATCCAGTAATCAAATTTAATATATCTATCGTAACAACACACATAATTATCTTAAAGCGATAATTTCATATTTTCTAAGAAAGCCAAAACATAATTATTTCTATGTCTTTTGCTCAATAGGTTGTCAACTCACTATTATACGATCATAGGTATTATTCTCCCACTTAAAAATCCTTTGACCCCAGAAATAATAACACAATTAACTCCCTTGTTTTTCTATTCCCCCCCATGGAATAGCTATCTTCAAACTTTTGAATTTAAAGTTGAAAATGATATTTTTGTCAATTTCTCAACTGGTAATAGTGAATTATAGGATTAATAGGATAATTCTTTAACAGGGTAGGATTGTTTATAGATACCATCTATTTTAGGGCTTTATTTTAATAAATTTTAAAAATATAACTTAAAAATATGAAATTGTAACTTTAAGACAAGGCGTGTTTGTTGAAGTTTTATACTAGGAACAAAAACCATACATTTTAAACAATTAGGCACGTTTTTCATGTCCGCAATTTCGCTGGTTACGTGGAAACGGTCCAATTACATTTGCATTAGATCGACTTTTTTGCCAGCGGAAATGCGTACATGGTAAAGGGGCCTTGAACAGGATTTAAAATGTCTTATTTGGAACTTCAAAAAACGTTTTTGACAGTCAAAGATTCAAATAATGTAGTCACATCATGTTCGGAATTGTAAGAATATTCTTACATACGTTTATTAACACACATGTATTTATGACAGACAAAATTTGCTAAAGATTAAAATAACATAGTCCTAGAATTATATTTTTACTAAAGTTTATTAATAGACATTTTCTTTTCACTTGCACACTCATATATAAAATATTTCATTCAACATTTAACCATATATTTCCACAATCTATTTTACACAATTCCTGATTTAAAACAAAAAACAAAACACCTTTTATATTCAATTTGGCAAAATAATTTACAAATTCATGACATGCTAAAGAATGTGGAATATTATAAAAGTGTAATTTAGGTGGGTTTGATTATCAGACTCGCACACATAATCCTATATTATATTGAAGCTTAAATATTTGAAGAGTCCAGGGGAAGAACGATCTAAGTCACATTTTTGTCTTTTTGCATAAAAGGCAAAACAGACTTTTGGATGAGAATGATTGACATGAACAGAACAACGAGTGGGTTTAATTACAACTTCGAAATGATGTTTAATACGAATCATAATTTCCGGTACAACTGTTTTCAAATTTTCAGGCAAATTAAGGTTAAATAAAGGGTACGATGGACGTATTTGTCCGATCGTTTTTACGTTCAATCAACTTTTCCACAGACAGCTTATACAATTTGCTACCAGATGGGGTACGCTGAAAAAGTGACTTAAATCGTTCTTCCCTGGGGCTCTTCATATCTTATATATTACACAAAATGCACAATATTCAGAAAAGTTAGACAGTAAAATAGACAAAGTGTGGGGTTGGCTAAATTTGGAAAACATAATTTTTGATATTGAACAGTATAAATGTATGTAAGTACATTTTTATAACAAGTTTTGATCTAATTTGATGAACTATAAAGGGGTTTCTTCATCCCATGATGAGTGAACTTTCAGTAAGGGGTCAATTTGTCACAGTCTTGGATTGTATTTCAATAATTCGTTTGAGTGTAGGGTTCTTTAGCAGTGGGAGGAAACCGTAGGACCCGGAGAAAACCCTACGAGGTTGGACAGGCGACCCTACTCCGTATCACATACAACTGGGGAATCAAAACCACTGTCCCAGATGGCCTGTCTTACATCACTATTCGTAAAACGAGTTCCCTCCTATTTTAGATGCCGATTATTAAAGTTTAAATTCATTAACACAATGCTTCACTGACAGTATGATATATAAAAGCTATGTTGACAATAAAATCGCAGATATATTAATCCACATGGTACAGTAAGCCTATATCTAACACTATTGCAACACATATTTTTCCAAAAATAGACCAATAAAAGTTCCCATATTAAAATAGTTTCATATTTCTAATATTAAACTTTGAAAATTTAGCATGAGAAAAGTGTTTAATTTAACCGTATAACTCAATCTGGTGTCATATTAAATGGGGAAATTACTTTGAAATTTGCTATTGGACAATTTAGAAATTAAGCAAATTTGAAAAGAATCTGACAAGAATTTGACCAATAGAGAGTTCACGAATAAATTGAGGACGGATCCCACACAGAAGTGATGATAATATAAGTCCAGATTAAAAGTGTGACGTATAAAAATGTGTATTTTTTTTTATCATTATCACACATAAAACCATTATAAATAATAACCTTGTTTCAATGGCATTTATTAATTGAACTCGAATATACAGGTCACAATTCTATAGAATACAATTACTGCTTATTAAAGATACATTATGCAAGAGCTAAATCTGTCTGTCGCAGGTCTTTCTTTAGGTCTGAAATGTTATCTAAATTATTAATTAGGCATTAATTAACTTATCCAGACCATAATCAACTCTAGATGGCATCGCTAGCCTACGATCTTAAGTGGATTGTGAGCCGATTTACTGCATAACTTTCCTTCTTGATTAAACGATTAAATAGATAATCGAGACTATGCTGTTTATTGTACTGACTTTAGTAATGATGACCGAGGCTAGGAATAAATTCATTCGCTTATTTCACGGTTCATAGTGGATCAATTTGAATGAAATTTTAAGGAAATGCCTTTACATTATCTAGTTTTTAATTATTTTAATGAGAACTGCAACTCGTTATCGTATCTCCCATAATGTATCTTTAATGAGTCACATTTCAACTAGGCTTCTCTAGTCATTATGAAGAAATGATAAAAAAATGAAAATATAACGAGACAATATAATGTACACAACAATACAATATAGTCTTGTTATATTTTATATTTTATCATTTCTTCATAATGACTAGAGAATCCTAGTCGAAACATCGCTCAGTAATAAGCAGTAATCAGTCATTGTTTTTTTTAAGGCAAGCGATCGCTCTTAAGCGCCTGTCGCTCAACTGAATGTCGACGGAGGGGGGGGGGGGGGGGGAGGTTTTATCTCTCCTTAAAATTGAAAATCGCTCTCCTTTACAAAGTCATGGGTGTTTACTATCATTTACGAGATCACTCTCCTTAATTTCTAAATCACTCCTCTTATTGAAACTGGGAGAGCTTTTTTTGGGGAGCGATTTTTTCAATTCAATTTTTTCAATTCAAATTTTTCAATTTGTTGATTAAGGGGAGCTTATTTCGGCTCTCGTCTAAAATACAAACAACAACGACTGAGTAATTGTCTTCCGTAGAATTGTGACCTGTATAAATAATAACTTGTCTGATAATGTCTCTTTAACCCTTTAGCATTTGGGGGGGTTGGGTGGCCGAATGGTTAGCACGCTGTATCATACGTTCTGTCATTGAGTCAACTGGTGTGGTTTCGAATCCCCGGTTGTACGTGACAAGGAGTGGGGTCGCCTGTCCAACCTTGTGGGTTTTCTCCGGGTTCTCAGGTTTCCTCCCACTGCTAAAGACCCCTACACACAAGTGAATTATTGAAATAAAATTAAACCATATGTTAGTCCCGAAATGACCTAGTTTGTGTTGAGTGGACGTTAAACCCCATTTCTCTCTCTGGTTCAAGTAAATAATGACTACCACAGTTACTTGAAATTTTTTAGAGAAAAGTGATATATTAATACAATTTGTCATTTCTATAATTCACTTGCGCTGAGGGGTCTTTAGCAGTAGGAGAGAGAGAGAGAGATGGGGTTTAACGTCCACTCGACACAAACTAGGTCATTTCGGGACTAACATATGATTTAATTTTATTTCTATAATTCGCTTGCACTGAGGGGTCTTTAGCAGTTGGAGGAAACCGGAGGACCCGGAGAAAACCCACGAGGATGAATAGGCGATCCTACTCCTTGTAACTATGCAAGTGACGAATCGAAACCACACCATTTGACTCACTGACAGACTTTATGATACAACGCAGACACTTTAAACCACCAGACCCCTCCCTCCACTCCCCCCCCACCCCACCTCTAAATGCTAAAAGGTTCAGTTAGAAATGAAACATTTTAAAAAAAGTATAATATTGATTATTGACATTTCAACATGGTAAATATCAACGACACACTTAATCAATTTCTGTGTGGGATATTTATATAACATAATCATTGTTGTACACATTTCAAACATGTTATTTCTAATAATGAGGTTTTAAGATAGACTCTACATTCAGTTCAATTCTATTATGTCAATTAAAAGGTTTCATTTTATAGACTAGACTTAATCTAATTAATGTAACATCACATAAAAACTTTTTTCACAATTTGGTGGAATTTGTTTGTGTAATTTGTGTATTTAAGGATACAGTAGAGTGGCCTAACAGACATTAATAATCATAAGGCTACACCAATTTTAATATTAGTTATAATTTACAAATGGTTTTCCTATTTCTTAGAAAAAGATCAATCCCGTTTGAATTTTAGCTCTTTCTGAACACCTGTAATTAATATATGAAGAGTCCAGGGGAATAACGATCTAAGTCACATTTTTGTCTTTTCACATAAAAGGCAAAACAAGACTTTTGGACGAGAATGCTTGACGCGAACAGAACAACAAGTGGGTTTAATGACAACTTCAAAATGATGTTTAATACGAATCATAATTACCAGAGCAACAACTGACTTCCACTTTTCAGCCAAATTAAGGTCAAATAAAGGGTACGATGGACGTCTTTGTTTGGGAGGCCATTTCAGATAGTTTTTACCTGAAATTGATTGTTCTACATGTTCTACAGAAAGCTTATACAATTTGCTAACAGATGGTGCCATTAACTGTGGTTTGTTGAAAACAAGACTTAGATCGTTCTTCCCCAGGGCTATTTAAATTTGTTTTCCTATTTCTTTGCACACAGTTATTTTTCTCAATAGTTGAAAGACGGAACTTATTAAGTCACTTTAGGCCATTAATAAAGATCCCAAGAAACTAAAAATCTTATTTGTTTGGCCTTAATTACTGAGTTTTATGTTTGACATGAAGGAACATAGATAGAGAGTTTTTACAGATTTATGTAAGAGACCTTGAGGATATAAGTGTTGTGACTAGGTGAAGAGTTGAGTGATATAGATATCGACAAGAGAATTTTATAAATAGGACAAGACAAAGTTTGTATATATACACGAGAACTAACTACCGGGTCAAGATGTCGGATCAGCATCAGGTTTTATTATCTGGAAAGTAATTAAATATTCTGGATACGCCTGAAATAGAACCAAAGACAAAGATATAATAAATGAAATAAAATGGGGTTTAACGTCCTACTGTTCTGCTCCAAACTGGGCTAATGAAGACGGGCATACGCCATACAGTGTGCTATGAGGGGAAATTTTGCCCGGACAGTGGCACTACGGCCTACTCTTATATCGAATTCCAACTGTCAAAGGATTTTTTACGTGCACGCTGTTTTCCATCCCATGCCAGGCCCCCCATCCTGCACCACTGACAAGTCGGAACCATGCCGTAAAATCATGATGAACTTTCTCGGCTAAATGCAGAATCATTATGTAAGATCTAGATGAAGAGCTGGCAGTTCTCAATATAATAGATTAAAAATAGATAATGAAAAATGAATACATTGAAAATTTCGACAAATTACTTTATTTTGAGCGAAGTTATGAATGTTAGAAGATTAGCGGAGAGACAGAGAAATGGGGTTTAAAGTCCACTTGACACAAACTAGGTCATTTCAGGACTAACACATGGTTTAATTTTATTTCAATCATTCGCTTGCGCGTAGGGGTCTTTAGCAGTGGGAGGAAACTGGAGGACCCGGAGAAAACCCACGAGGTTGGACAGGTTAGAAGATGTAGCGGAGATTGTTTGATTGTTTATTATCGTAGCAACTAAGTCTCAATTTCAGAGAAAGAGAACAAAAATGGGTTTATCGTCCACTCGACAAAAGCTAGGTCATATCGGGACTAACATATGGTTTAATTTTATTTCAATAATTCGCTTGCTAGTAGGGGTCTTTAGCAGTGGGAGGAAGCTGGAAGACCCGGCGAAAACCCACGTGGTTGGACAGGTGACCCTACTCCTTGTCACGTACAATCGGGGAATCGAAACCACGCCAGTTGACTCAATGACAGACCTTATGATACAACGCTCATGTGCTAACCATTCGGACTAAGATATGGTTCAATATTATTTCAATAAATTGCTTGCGTGTAGGGGTCTTTAGGAGTAGGAGGAAACTGGAGGACTTGGAGAAAATCCACAGCCGGGGAATCGAAACCACAGCAGTTGACACAATGACAGACCTTATGATACAGCACACACCCGCTTTATTATTTTAGAAGATATTCATGAAGTGATTAGAAGATATTTATGATGTGATTAGATGATATTTATGATGTGATTAGATGATATTTATGATGTGATTAGATGATATTTATGATGTGATTAGATGATATTTATGATGTGATTAGATGGTATTTATGATGTGATTAGATGATATTTATGATGTGATTAGATGATATTTATGATGTGATTAGATGATATTTATGAAGTGATTAGAAGATATTTATGATGTAATTAGATGATATTTATGATATGATTAGATGATATTTATGAAGTGATTAAAAGATATTTATGAAGTGATTATCCCAATAATTACCTGTTCTCCTCTATAAACAACATATTCAGCGAATACAAGACCACCGGTACTAGGTCGTCCTATAACAGAATGATGACCTGGGGGAGAATGAGCCATCTTCATGGCACTAAACTGTAAAAACGATTTCCCTAGAGTTGATCGACATAACAATAATTGTCTGAAAGAAACAAATTTTCACTTTTATTACATACTAGCTGAGGTATACAGTGTTGAACAGGTTGAGTTTACCTCCAATTGTGTAAAATCTATAATAAGCAAGCCTGGAATCAAGGCACCTGGTTTTTCTTACAATAATAGTTCAAAAATAGATAATGAAAAATGAATATATTGAAAATTTTAGTCAAATTACTTTATTCGGAGTCAAGTTATCAGAATGCCAAAGGGAGAAAACTCCATTTTACAAGATACAATATAAATAGCACCATTACATTTCTTTAAAAAAAAAAACCCTGATTAATATAAAGTTATTTTAAACTCTTTTTCTTTCTGTCTTTAGGACACAGAGATCTTGTGAGATGTGGATAACTCCCATGACCCAATATTGTAAAACTGAGTTCTCTCCCTTGGGCATCCTGTAATGCAGGACAAAATTGGCTATCGTCTCATGAAAATGCATAATGTGTATCAATTTTCAAATCAAATAGAATTAGCTTTAGCATCTAGAGTGGCCACAATATTTTAAAATGTGATCAAGGGCAACAACTTCAAAGTAATTCTATGCTTCCACATAAATCTCAATCTGATTAAAACACAGATCCTATTTCGTTGTTTTATATAGTTCAAAATTTCGTTTTACTTCACAACACCAGGATCTGGAAGGATTGTTATATAATGCACTTTCTAGTTGATGTGAGGAATTAGCTAATGAAACTGTCTGTTACGGTGAGTGCTTGGCATGCTGCGAACGGAACTGCGTTTAAGTCACTAGAAACGTCAACACTGATTGATTAATCAATACCTGACGTCATAGGGTCAAAATAAGACCCCTGGCACTACCTCCCACTACAACTGGTCAGATCTTCATGCAGTGTAGGCCATTGAAAGTATACAAAAAAATGAAACGAAATTTGTTTTTTAATCAGATTGCATGAATCTTGTATGGTAAGTATAGCATCTAGAGGGGCCACAAAATTCTAAAATGTAATCAAGGGCAACAACTCCGAAGTAATTCTAGACTTCCACATTTAAGAATAAGATATTTTACCGTGTACAGATATAACAAGATCTATCTTTATGCATTGGACAACCAGTCCCACCACCAATACCATAAACATACTGATTACTTTTAGATGAATTCTCAGCAAAATAAATACCTGATGACAGAAAATAAACATAAATCATTAAAGACTGAAGGGGAAAGGGAATAAGGTTTCATATCTCGTCAATACAATACACCAGTATTATTTAATCTTGTGTATCTAGCACTAACTTCTTTCACATTCATTCAATATCAAATCTTTGTTTAAAATTTCATAAAAATCGTTTAAAATCACCCAAAATATGATCTAATTTGTACTGTGTCCAATTTAAAGATGCCTGATTAATTTTGACAATTGGTGTCCAATTTACAATCAGAATGTGCTAAACTGCCAAAGGAACGTGACAGTGTTGACATTCTGGTTGAGGCTCTCGCTTAAAGATGAAAATGTGTACTGCTATGCCAATCTCCTAAGAGGAGCTTAATGTGACGAAGGCGGTTATTTAAAGTTGGTCGAAACATTAGAAGATACATACCCGCCCCAAACATTCCACCAATATATGCATGTCTTTCATCAAAACCTTTATGTACAATTGTTGTTAAAAATGGAGATCCATGGAAAAGATGGCGTTCATTTGGATGGCCATGATTTTCTTCAGCAACCTCCTTTTTACGATGACAATATCTTTCCCATAATCGTTTATTACGAATCTTTTGAATCTAGAAAAACATGAATAAATATTATTATCTCATCTTAAGAGTAATAAAGTAGGCCTACATGTCTATATAATTTACATAACACTGTGTCTGTTTTTATTTGAAATTGCCTCAAGCATGCTCACTCAGTATTGGGACAGCCCCACTATTAAGACCAAATCTCGACAGTCCCACAAGTGGTCTTAATAGAGGGATTTCAGTGTAAATAAACCAATCAGCCCTGCTACTATCATGTAGGCCAGTGATTAGCACTGCATTGTCATGTAGATAAGTGATCAACACTGTTATTGTCATGTAGGCCAGTGATCAACACTGCTATTGTCATGTAGTAATCCAGTGATCATCCCTGTAATTGTCATGTTGGACAGTAAAAGTGTTCAGTAAAATGATAGTTACTATAAATATTTCTTGATATATCATTACAAGGGAATTTGAAATGAATACTCAGGAGAATATTCTACTTACTTTATGAATATTATATCTCGAAAATACGCCCCCAGCATTATCTTTATGATCACGAATCGTATTTTGCATCTGAAATGACAAAATTAAAATTTTCAATTTTGAGACAGAGAAATGGGGTTTAAAATCCACTCAACACAAACTAGGTCACTTTGGGACTAACATATGGTTTAACTTTATTTCAATAATTCGCTTGCAAATAGGGGTCTTTAGCAGTGGAAGGAAACTGGAGAACGCAGAGAAAACCCTTGAGGTTGGACAGGCGACCCTACTCCTCGTCACGTACAACCAGAAATTCGAAACCAAGCTAGTTGACTCAATGACAGACCTTATGATACAGCTCGCACATGCTAACCATTCGGCCATCCCCCCCCCCCCCCCCCCAGCGGCATTACGAGCTATCCTTACAACAATTTTGCAACTGTTGGGGGTTCTTTCACATGCTGCCAATAGTATAGACATGGCCTTAGTTAAGGGGTGAGGCTACCCGAAAAATGCTTTCTGATATTCTAAAGCTAGTGAATTGAAGATGGCAATTTTATTTTTTCCTTGTTTATTACATTTTTTGACTACTTCTACTATTTTCAATTCAATAGATTTAACATTTCAGAATAAAATTGTTTTGGATAGCCCCCCCCCCCCCCCCCTTAAACTGCATTTTATTTCATATTAGTGATGAAGTGATTATTATTGTTTGTTTTTTTTTTTCAGGTGTTTTTATCTATCTAGTGTTATAAATACCTGTTCTTCAACTGATATATATTCTGGATCATCAGGTGAGAGATCTATTAATATTGTACCTTGATTAGGTGGCCCTAAAAATACCTGGGCACCTGTAAAATAGATTACAATAATACTGAATATAAACTGTTTCAAGACAAGGGAAAGTCAGTGAATAACAAAAAAACATAGTGTTGAACACATCTGAGCATAAACTTAAAAGGCAGAAACTAAACAAGAACCAGAAAAGAGAGAGAGAGAGATGGGGTTTAACGTCTACTTGACACAAACTAGGTCCTTTCGGGACTAACATATGGTTTAATTCTATTTCAATAACTCGCTTGCCCGTAGGGGTCTTTAGCAGTGGGAGGAAACCGGAGGACCTGGAGAAAACCCACAAGGTTGGACAGGCAACCCTACTGCTTGCCACATACAACTGGGGAATCGAAACCATGCCAGTTGACTCAATGACAGACCTTATGATATAATGCACACGCGCTAACCATTCGGCCATCCACCCCCCTCAAGAACCAGAAGACTCAGTAATCAACATATTGCAGATACAAAAGACTAAAAACTCAAACCTGTTTCCATGGAAACAAAAAAATTTCTAATTGGCAAGATGCACTACTTCAGATTGGTAGCAGTATCTGTGTTCTTTGTGCTCATTCAGTCAAATGTTATTATTTCACTACAAACAGGTTCAGTTACAATTTTTTACATAAATATTAAATAAATATCAAATTAAAAGAACAAAACAAACATTACCTTTTGTTGCCATCAGTTTTTCAACACCTTTAAGTATCTTGTGCCGATGACCGTAAGCATTAATTCCAATATCTTTTAATTCTTCATGGCCCATTTCAGCCAATATGTCCATACTAATTTGTTCTTTTTCAAAAATATCACGTAAGGATTCTAATCCTATATTTGTAAGGAAAGCACTAACACTTAAAGTTTCTAAACTTCTCTCCCCCTCCCCAGCTGATCTCTCCATACACCCATCACCAATTTGGGGACTTCCCCCAACAGCTCCTGCGATACCCTCTGATGAACTGTTCAATAAACTACTGTAAAACAAAAATGGATTAAATATTAGATTTTCTTGGGTTAAATACCTTTTTAGAACTTTCAGCAGTAGAGAGAGAGAGAGAGAGAGAGAAATGGGGTTTAACGTCCACTCAACACAAACTAGGTCATTTCGGGACTAACATATGGTTTAATTATATTTCAATAATTTGCATGCGCGTAGGAGTCTTTAGCAGTGGGAGGAAACCGGAGGACCCGGAGAAAATCAACGAGGTTGGATATGCGACCCTATTCCTTGTCACGTACAACTGAAGATTTGAAACCACACCAGTTGACTCAATGACCGGCCTTATGATAAGGTGCGCACACGCTTACCATTCGGCCATCCAACCCCCTTTTGGCAGTATAAAAATACACAGGTATTTCGGTAGCACACAATATGAGGGAAATTTTCTCTCAATCTGATTAAAATACAATCTGATTCAAAAACACAGATCCTATTTCGTTTTGTTTTTATAGTTCCAAATTTTGTTTTACTTGTCTTTACTACACTTGGATCTTGAAGAGATTGTTATTTAACTTGTGTTATGAATGGTGTCAGGGATAAGCCAATTAAACGGTCTGTTACGGCGAGTTTAAGCATGTTTTGCACGGAATTGTGGGTAATCCACTAGTAACATCAATGCTGATTGGTTAATCAAATGTCTGACGTCATAGGGTCATAAGTCGGTCTTTTGACCCCTGATGTGACCTATCGCTATAACTTGTCAGATCTTCATGTAGTGTAGGCCATCGAAAGTATAAAAAAACGAAACGAAATATAGATCTGTATTTTATTCAGATTGATTAAAATACAGATCTATATTTCGTTTTGTTTTTTTTATACTTTTGACGGTCTACACTACATGAAGATCTGATGATGATGTAGAATTGTGTAACTTACTTGCTAGAAGATGATGTGCTAGATGTTAAACTAACTACTTGTGTTTTCGGTATACTAGGAGGAAGTGTGGTAGGTGGCATGGCATCTTCTATTAATGCACGGACATCATCAGCCTGTAAAATAAACGATATCTATTGTAACCATTTTTATAATAAATGAAAAAGAGACATAGATGGTGATGGGGTTTAACGTCCACTCGACACATACTAGGTCATTTCACGACTAACATATGGTTTAATTTTATTTTAATAATTTGCTTGCACGTAGGGGTCTTTAGCAATGGGAGGAAACCGGAGGATCCGTAGAAAACCCACGAGGTTGGAAATAAATGACAAGAAACAGGGTTTAACATCCTACTGTTCTGCTCTGACTGGGATAATTGTAAGTCATACAGTGTGCTATGAGTAAATTTGCCCAGACAGAGGCACCAAGGCCTTCTGTTATTTAGAATTCCAACTGGGTTCTTTAATGTATACATGCGACCTCCGTTTTTTTCATCTCATCTGAACATCCTGCACCAATGACAAGAGGTTCTTTATAACAACGTGCCATAATCTAACACTAATATTATGGTTCTCAGTCAATCCTTCCTAAAAGGTTTTTGTTTTTATTTTGTCAAAGGATTAAAACTGAGTTAAATGACTTCTTATAAACACCACATTTCAAGGCACTACATTTATCTCATCATGTTGAATATATGATTATACAGTATTCAAAATCAGGGCTGAAAATTTCAGGAAAATGTTCCAGTGATAAGTTTGAAATGTCATACCGTAGATAAATCTAAAGGTGTCTGTCCTTCTTGGTTTTTCATTGATGGATCAGCTCCATGGGCTAACTGTTTGAAAAAAAGTAATATATAAATTTAATATCAGTAAGTTGAACAATCCATCGTAAGGTTGGATACTCAAGGTGCATTACACAAATAAAATAACAATAAATAGAAATGTATGTAAAGTATGATAAAAAAAAAGAAAAAAAAAGTGAAATATGATAAATAATAAATAAATATAACTTTACAAAAAAATTATTCTTAAACAGTCAATTTGAAAAGAAAATGAAAATATCAATACGCCAAATTTTGTTCTGCGATATGTCTTATGGAAACCTCTATGGCAATATATCAATTATTTTTAACAGCCATAATAATAAAAGTAAACTTACCAATAGAGCACATAATTGTGTTCTACCTTTCTGTGCAGCTTCATGTAATGGTGTAAAACCCCATCTATCTTGAGCATTAACACATGTATCAAACTTAATCAACAATTGTGCTATATCCACATGCTGAAAATATATAGTATTATTATTATCATGAACACTTATATATAGCCCTTTATCGAACAGTTTGCACAAAAAACATGAGATCTCTGATACAGAACACAAAAACAACTATTAAGTCCTAAAAAGGCAGTTAAAAGAAACAAGAAATTAAAAGCCTGACCATAACTAACAGTTTGTGACAGAATAGAGAAGGGGGGGGGGGAGAGAGAGAGAGAGAGAGAGAGAGAGAGAGAGAGAGAGAGAGAGAGAGAGAGAGAGAGAGAGATCCAATTGACAGAATTTAGGTCTATTCCGGAGGGACTAACATGTGGTTCAATTTTATTTCAATAATTTGCTTGCACGTTGGGGTTTGTTTACAGTAAGTGATATTATAGTGAGATAAACAAAATGTATTTTTCAAGAATATTATAGTTATCATCACTTTAATTGTTAGAATTAATATTTAAGTTCAATCGTAGTTTATTGATGGAAAAATTGAAATATTTCCCTTTCACCATCTTAATTTTCCAATCCAAGTTTGCCATCTTCTGAGATATGAACTAGTAACCATAAAATAATATTTTTGATCCAATAATCATCTGGTTTATTTGCATTTATAATTATAAGTAATAATACTTACCCCATACGATGAAGCATTGTGTAATGGTATCAGACCACCTTTATCCTGGGCGTTTACATCCGCTCCGTTCTCTAATAAAAACTCTGATACTTCTACATTATTATACCCAGCTAAAATATAAACATCAACTTCATTAATAAACCATTTTATAGAAGATTAGTTCTGGTATCGGGAGATATTTAAATGTCAACAAAACCCAAGACAGAGATTACAATATGTCGACATAATGTCAACACTTAATCACATTTTCTTCTCCGGGCGGTGCTGTTTCAATGCTTGTTATTGTGTAGTACTACTTTTCTAATTTTCTTCTTGGCGCGGTGCTGTTTCACTGATTGGTATTGTGTAGTACTACTGGATTTCTTTGTTGTGTCTTTTTCCTGATCGAAATTACTACATGTTAAATCGTTTATACACCTTTATTATTAAATCCGCTTGGCATCAATGTACCTCGTTCTCAATTAAGTGTATATAGTTTCTGATGGCTGCTCTGACAGACTGGGTGAGCTCTAATGGATTTCGATCAACATCCTCTTTTATAACCCCCAATTTCTTTACGTCATAGACTGACCTTGGCGTTAATTTCCTGAGCAAAAACCTGAGGTTAATGAATTGCATTGGAAGCATGTGAACGACCCTATGATTATTAGACATGGATATAAGAATAGACTGTAGCACTGCTGTCATAGCACATGGCAAGGCGCACATCTGGTTGGTGCAGAAAAGTAAGAGGTTAAAGCCAATTTTATTTTAAATTCTAATTTTTTCATAATAAATATCAACAAAGCCCAAGACAGAGATTATAATATGTCGACATAATGTCAACACTTAATCACATTTTCTTCTCGGTGAGATGCTGTTTCACTGATTGTTATTGTTTAGTACTACTGGATTTCTTTGTGGTTTTTTTTTGTGATCGGAATTACAACTACAGGCTTATTATTAAAGCCATGTGGCACCAAGACAGAGATTACAATATGTCGACATAATGTCAACACTTAATCACATTTTCTTCTCGGTGAGAAGCTGTTTCACTGATTGTTATTGTGTATTTTTGATAGCTTCTTATTACTTCGAGAGCCACGGTGGCTCAGTGAGCAGGATTCACTCCTGGTTTTAGCCGAGAAAGTTCTTCAGGTAGTGGCACAGGACGGAGGGCATGGCAAGGACAGCATCTAGTTGTTCGGATGGGGTAGAAAACTGAGGTCCCGTGTAAAAATTGGCGTGCACGTAAAAGAACCCTTGACAGTTGTAATTCGATATAAGAGTAGGCCATAGCGCCACTGTCCAGGCTTAAATTCTCTCATAGCATTCTGTATGGAGTCTTCATTAGCCCAGTTGGTGCAGAACAGTAGATGTTAAAACCTATTTCATTTGAGCAAAAACCTGAGGTCATATCGGGACTCACGGTTCAATTTTATTTCAATAATTGGCATGCGTGTAGGGGTCTTTAGCTGTGAGAGGCAACCAGAGGACTCGGAGAAAAACCCAAGTGCACGAGATAACCATTCGGCCACCCAACCCCCCCTTAAAGTACAAGAAATATACCTGCTAAATGTAAAGGTGTTGAGTTTCTACCCTGCGTATCACGACAGTTAATATTTTCAGGTGTGGCTAGTTTTTGTACACGTGCAAGGTTACCCTTTTTGGCAGATTCTAATAGTGCAGCGTCACCTGTAAATAGGAAGAAATATTATTTATTTACAAATTTCATTTCTTGTCATATTGAGCGAGTTGAAAGGAGCTAAATCGCTAATATTTAAAACTAGAAATAGACACAAATGGGTCGCAACGCATATATACTATTCAAAAAAAGTAGGGGATATTTGATTTTGGGGGCATAATACTAAAATATGCAAATGACTACGAAAAAGGTCACTATAGAACCTAACAGAAGAAACATTTCCAGTTACATGTGACGCCCAAACGCACCAATAGCTACCGCATGGAATGCAGGTGATGCTTGGGATCATCATGGGGGTCCAACCCAAGATTTGCACGACTCTGACTTTGAATGTTACAGTCATTGTGGCATTGAATTCCAGGGTGGAAACATCAGTTTAATTGTTTTAGTGACCAGAAAACAAATTTTGATATGCGTCGGCTTACCCAAAATGAAAGGTTACGTGCCCTTGGCATGCTACAGATCGGCACAACACAGGCGGTTGTGGCGCGGACGATGAATGTTTCTCAGTCTGTCATAACCAGGCTATGGTCCAGATACCGTGATACACAATCTGTACAGGACAGACCACGCTCAGGTCGACCAAGGGCGACAACTCAAGCCCAGGATCGATTTATCCGTACCTTGGCCTTGAGAAATCGTGTCATCACAGCAAATCAGATCAGCGCTCGTCTTCAAACAGACACTGGTGTGAGAGTGAGTGGCCAGACGATTCGGAATCGACTGCATAAGGGTCACCTTCGCGCCCGACGTCCTCGCGTGATCCCTTGTTTGAGAGATCATCACATTCAGGCAAGACGTCGTTGGTGTAGGGATCGTCAACACTGGGAAAATCGACGCTGGAGCAATGTGATGTTTTCAGATGAGTCAAGGTTCACTGTTGATTTTTTGGACAGACGTAGGAGGGTGTGGCGTCGTCGAAACGAGCGCTTCCAAGACGTTAACGTCATCAGACATGATCGATTTGAGGGTGGTTCTGTTATGGTGTGGGGAGGCATCACTGTTGCTGGAAGAACGGCTTTACATGTTGTTGCAGGGCGTGTTACAGGCCAGTACTACCGGGACAACATCTTGGCAGTCCATGTTGTGCCGTTCGCACGACGTCATGGCCGCCGTTTCATCTTCCAGGATGACAACGCAAGATGTCACAGGGCCAGGATCGTTACAGGTTACCTCCAACAACAGAACATCACCACATTACCTTGGCCAGCACTGAGTCCCGACCTCTCCCCCATCGAGCATGTCTGGGACATGCTTGGACAGAGGTTACGTCAACGTCAACAACGTCCTGCCAATGTCCAAGAACTTGCTGCTGCGTTGCAACAGGAATGGGACAATCTGGACCAAAATGACCTTAGACGTCTCATTAGGAGTATGCCACGTCGGATCAATGCTTGTTTGGCAAACAGAGGAGGATTTACCCGTTACTGACTTGGTTGTGATGCTGTGGTAACTTTGCTGTTTGACCCCGGGTATCATTTTACCCTTATAATGGTCAGTCTGTGCCTTACTTAGTCTAACGATCATTTGGATTAAATCGATGAATGTGAACTTCATTTCATTTTGTCATTTGTTTCTTCGTCAGTTTCATTAGGTGACTTTAATAACACTTAAAAATCAAATATCCCCTACTTTTTTTGAATAGTATATTAATGTAATATGAATGTATATAAACTGATTTACATTCCATCATTTCTATTTTTACTGTAATTTCTAATCAGTCATGTTCAGCGAAATATGCCAGAAGTTTCAATCGAATGGCAATCTCTATTCTCTGGTCATTCCAGTCTTCACCGATAGTATCTATTGTGCATGCTCTCCAGAAAGGAACATAGCGCCACTGTTTGACATGACTTTTGGAATATGTCTAGCCTTGTTCTTTGAGTCTTTAAAAGGTTTATTTTTATCATAAATATTGGATATCAGAAGCCCATCTTTCACGGTAAGATCACAACATCAATGTTGATTTAAATTGACAAATAATTCGTCTTTTCAATGTCGAAAACGTTGGATGATAATGAATTAGAGACTTAGCTACTATAAGTATTCTTTCTACTGAAACAGCAAGTGATGTAAAATGTGCCTTTTAGAACCAGGCCACTATATTGTAAAAATAAACAAACCTCGAAGTAGATCTCCTACATCTTGGTCGCCATCTTTGACTAGATCTATCGGAGCATGACTATCTCTATTCTTCTTATTAGCATCAGCTCCATGCTGAAAATATACAAAACAGACAATCCTTATTAAAATCTATTGGACATATTATACACAAGATTTCCAATTTGAAAACTACGAAATACTTTCAAACAGGGAAGCAACTCTAGTTAATAAGATTACTGAGAGAACATTTGACTGAGCATATCACATGAATTAAACATGTTTACTTTTATTTGATTATGTCAAAATTTTGATAAGATTGTGAGAGAACGAAAGAAATGGGATCTAGCGTCCACTTGACACAAACTAGGTTATTTCGTGACTAACTGTGGTTCAATTCCATTTCAATAATTCGCGTGTGCATAGGTGTCTTTAGCAGTGGAAGGTAACCAGGGAACGAGAGAACACCCACAAGGTTGGACAGGTGACCCTACTCCTTGTCACATACAACCAGGGAATCAAAACCACATCTGTTGACTGATAAAATTGTGCATCTGTTATTCAGGCAGTGACAGATACTGTGTCTCTTGATTTTAATTCTAGCAACACATTTAAGTATCACTTTAGAAGTTGATGAAAAGAGTTTTTATCCTACCTTTAATAATAATTTACAGATTTCAAATTTTCCTTTAGAAGCTGCTTCATGTAGTGGTGTAAACTTCCATAAATCAGCCACATTGACACATGCACCATGCTGTAAAATAAACACATATACATCTATATATCCATGTGGTCTCATTTTCTTAATCTATTTTTAATATATACACAGGATTATTTCGGTTATAGTTAGTGCTAAATGATAAGGCCAGCTCAATTTTTCTTCATAGGTAACGAGATGTAAACAGGGCTAGTGCTAATACCAACCCTAACCCTGGACCTAACCCCAATGCTTACCCTAACCTTAACCTACAATCACGTGCCCTAATCTTATTTACATCTCAGCGACCTTGACAAAAATTTGAGCTGGCCTTTACAAATAAATTTAGCCGATTACTTCACCAACTTTTTTTTGTTTCCATTTTTGCACTCTAAAACCCAACTTTATGATTTACCTCCCCTTATAAACTATGTGATGGAAAACCAATGTCAGGTGTAGACATTGGCATGCACATGAAAGAACCCTTGGCAGTTGGAATTGGAAATAAAGATTTAGCTGTAGTGCCACTGCCTGGGCAAAATTCCCTTGACAGCAAACTTTATAAATGAAATGGTGTAACGTCCTACTGTTCTGCTCTGACTGGGCTAATGAGGATGGCAAAAAAAATGTTTATAATTTTATTTTAATTATATAAACTATATTTACCTTGATAAGTAGTTCAGTAACTTCATAATGACCATAAGAACATGCATTGTGAAGGGGCACTAACCCTCTGTAAAATAAACATATTGTAAAATTAATATATTAGCAATGTCTTAAACATACATAATGCAAGAGCTAAATCTGTCTATTGCGGGTCTTTCTTTAGGTCTGAAATGTTATATAAACTATTAATTAGACATTAACTATTATTAACTTATACAGAAATAAACAACTCAAGATGCCATCGCTAGCCTGCAATATTTACTGGATTTGAATACACTTTGTGATTGGTGATTTGATGCCAAAATGGACAACCAAGACTTTGTTTTTTTATTGTACCGACTTTAGTAATGATGATCGAGGATAGACCTAAATTTCAATCGCTAATATCTCGGTTCAGAGAAATTTTCAGCATATTCCCTTTATGTTATCTATTTTTAACTATTATAGCGAGAATTGTCAGTTCTTTATCTAATCTCCCATAATGCCCCATTCATCTTAAAAAAAAACCCGAAAGATCGAAGCACAATAAATTGATTATCAGTTCAAAATATTCCAAATTGACAAAATTGCAATTAAGTGAAACAAATTACATAAAGTAACACTAACCCTTTATCTTTAGCATGAACATCTGCTCCAAGCTGTAATAGATATTCTACTACTGCTACACGGTTATAACCCGCTGCGAAATGTAGAGGAGTAGAATGTCGTCCATCTAAATCCCGACAATTTACAGCATGAGGATTACTTGTCACTAATTTCTATAAAATAATAACACATATATCAAAACAATTATCAATATACCAATACCATTATCAATATATCATATCCATTATCAAGAAACTTGGATATGGAGAGACGTTTTTGTATACTTTTTTTATTTTTATTGAAGCACATTGAAATTAATACATTAACAAGTTTTTGTTTATTTTTTAAATTTTTGTTTATTTTTTTATTGAAGCACATTGAAATAAAAGAAATAATAATACCTTAACAAGTTCTAAATCTCCTGCTTTAGCTGCTTCTAGTAACTGTATATCAACATCAGTTCCTCCTACTGGTAAATCTTCTATAAATGACAATATACAAATTTATTTACACTTGAATCTCACTATAACATGTTTTGATAGTAAGGTCAGAGTCCCAACAGATTTATATTGAAAATGTTCAGTATAATATAAAATGAAATGGGGTTTAACATCCTTCTGTTCTGCTCCTATACTGGGCTAATGAAGACAGGCATACACCATACAGTGTGCTGTGAAGGGTAATTTTTCCCAGGCAGCGGCAATACAGCCTACTCTTCTATCGAATTCCAACTGCCAAGCGATCTTTTACTTGCATGCCAATGTGTACACGAGACCTCGTTTTTTTGTCTCATCCGAAGGACTAGACAGCTGTCCTTGTCAGGCCCTCCATTCTGCACCACTGACAAGGTTTCTCATCCAATCTGAACAATAGACAGGTGTTTTTGTCAGTTCCTCTGTACTGCACCACTGACAAATGGAAACCATGTCTGAACATCCCAATGAAGAGAGAGAGAGAGATCGATCAAGCCCCGAGTTCACAAAGCATTCTCAGACTTAAGTTAAGAATTTACTCAACTTTCAATCACTGTTTATAAGAAATTTCTTTGATCCAGAAATGCAAAACTTTGCAAATAGTTTCTTATTTATGTATTTGATACATTAAAACAATAAAAGTTTTATAAAGGGCTATATTTTAGTTAAAATAAGATATACAATTTTGAGTAAATTCTTAACTTGAGTCTGAGAATGTTTTGTGAACTCGGGGCCTAGTTTAACGTCCCCGTCATTTCGGGACTAACATAGGGTTCAATTTCATTTCAATAATTCACTTACGCATAGGGGTCTTTAGCAGTGGGAAGAAACCGGAGAACTTTAGAACTCGTAGAAAACCTGCTAATTTGGACGGACAGCCCTACTCCTTGTCATTATATTAAGGAAATCGTAATATATTACAAACCTTGTAGGAGCTTCTGAACATTTTCTGTTGCTAACATGGCTGCTGTAAATCCATTAACATTCATAATGGTCGTATCAATACCATATGACATGAGCAGTCGACAAGCTTGTAGATTACCTTGTTGGGCTACACGATGTAATGCCGTCTGTCCTAAACGATCTAGAGCATTCACCTGAAGAAATAAAGGATACATTAACTTCTGTTGGTAGAAATCTCAATATCTTCTGGTAATGAGAAGTGAATAGTATGACTTTTAATTTTTCAGGGCCAATAAATATGCATAAAACTGACGGACATATAAAGTTTTGTGAGTTTTGTGACTGACTTTTGTTAGGGCTACTTATGAAGGTTATCTGAAATTCTCAATAACTCTGAACTGTAGAGTATAATCCTTTAGTTGCATTTGACGATTGGAAACACGACAAAACTAACACAGTTATATGGGACAACAATCACTGGTTTATTAAACACAAGCACAACGTTTCGATAAGTATCCTCTTATCGTTTTCAAGCCCAATAACGATACTTATTGAAACATCATGCTTGTGTGTAATAAACCAGTGATTGTTGTCCCATATAACTGTGTCAGTTTTGACCTGTAGAGTGTTCACGAAAATCGTTGATGAACAGAAAAGAGTGATGACACTATACTCAAAACATGAAATGTGGGCGTAAAAAACTTAATTTTATTCTGATACCTAGATTGTGAGATACACATAGTTTGTTTTCATTTCATTTTACTTGTGAAAATAATTCAAACCGAAAATTATTCTACACTTAATATATTAATCATACCTTAGAACCATGTTTTAAGAGAACATCCATGATATCGAAATGACCTTTATCAGCCGCCATATGTAGTGGTGTTAAATTACTGAAAAAATACATAATAAACAACTTTTACAATAAAATCCTAAGATCCACCTCAATATGATTTTATAAAATATTTTTCTTTTTTCTGATATATTGAATGGAATGAGCTTTAAAGCACAATACTTCGTCCAATTTACATCTGTGGACATTGGTTTTAAGTCTCATCTATATAACTAAGCATACAACCATACAGCGTGCTTTGAAGGAAATTTTGCCAGGGCAGCGGCGCTACAGCCTAGCCTTATATTGAATTATTGAATTCCAACTGCCAAGGGATCTTTTACATGCACAACAACATGTACACGGGACCGAAGTTTTCTGTCCCATTTGGACCACTATACATTGTCCCGTGTCAGGTCCTCCGTACTGCACCACTGGCAAAGGGGAGGAATACGCCGGAAAATCCCAATGAACTGTCAAAGTCGACGCAGTCATCGAAATACTGTACCTCTATATGTTAGTGAGCCAACTTCTTACTCACTGAGCCAACATGGCTCCCTTTTAATTGAGCAACAAGAGTTTCCTGACAGCTTAACTACAACAGCCTCACCCACCCCCACATTGACAACTGAGTAGTTAATAAACAATCTTTATAAATATGTCAATATGGACATTATACTTGAGATTCTATGTGGTTTGTACTTACTCTTTATTTTTATCATTTAATGTGGCAGCTTTTCTAATCAGTAAATCTACCACTTGTTTTCGTTTAGGGAATGGTGATGCAGCAGCACAATGCTAGAAAAACAAAAGAAATTGTTTTGACTGAATAGTAAGTAAGCTTCAGTTTATGGTGTGTTTTCCATGTATGCGTTTTCGCTGCATTTCAGCACAAATTTTCATCGGCGAAACAATCAGTATAGTGCAAAATCGCGAAAAATGCACACATGGATTACAGGGCTTAAAGCAGAAGATTCAATCTTAGTTTTTGAACTATACAAACATGGTTTCTTATTAATCTGATGCAGTCAAACTGTACTGATAATTAGGAAATTTCTATTCTGAGGGCAGTGTTGCAGTTGGAGGAAACCGGAGGACCCGGAGAAAACTCATGAGGTTCGACAGGTGACACTAACACATGGTTCAATTTTATTTCAATAATTTGCTTGCAGTGGGAGGAAACCGCAGGACCCAGAGAAAACTCATGAGGTTGGACAGGTGACCCTACTCCTCGTCACAGACAACCAGGAAATCAAAACCCAACAGTTGACTCAATGACAGACCTAATGACCAAAAGCTTACGTGTTAAACCACTTGATACAATGAGCTTTACCCAAAGATCAACGAGAAGAGTACTACGTATATGCAAATAGTTCATGGTTTCAAAATAAAGTAGTAATTGTAATGTTTACATACCATGCCAGAATCTCCACTGTAAGGATGTTTAAAGTTGACAGTTTCAGATGTTAAATATTTTTTGACACGCGTGAGATCAGCTTGTCTGGCTCCCTCTAATAAAGAATGACCCTTATATTCATCTGTAATAAATATAGAATTTATATAGTCATAGATATTTACTGGTCTGACAGAAATGCAGTGACTCCTAAAAAATAAATTGTGTAACCCAATAGGCAAGCTATACTTATTTTAGACCATTTTCTGATAGCATTTTCATGATTACTGGTTTCTTGCAGAGACAGAGAGAGAAATGAGGTTTAACTTCCACTTGACACAAACTAGGCCATTTTGGAACTAACACATGTTTTAATTTTATTTCAATAATTCGCTTGCGAGTAGGGGTCTTTTTAACAGTGAAGGAGGGTTTAATGTCCACTCGCCACAAACTATGTCATTTTGGGACTAACACATGGTTCAATTTTATTTCAATAATTCGCTTGCAGTGAGAGGAAACCGGAGGACCCAGAGAAAATCCACGAGGTTGGATAGGTGACCCTACTCCTTGTCACAGACAACCGGGGAATCGAAACCCTGCCAGTCGACTCATTGACAGACCGTATAATATAGCATGCACGTGTTAACCATTCGGCCACCACCCCCCTTCTTGTAAACAGATCAGAATATTTGTGTATAAATACTTACACTGAAGTCTTTCCTGTAATTCTCTGGTAGGACAAACATCTATAGCACTTTTAGAATGACAATTAACAAGAGTTGGATCTGCACCATGAGCTAACAGTAAAGAACAGACCTCTGATCGGGATTTAGACGCAGCTTCGTGAAGTGGTGTAAACTGCCATAAATCCATTGCATTAACCGTGGCACCGTGCTACAATAACCATTTGGATATCATTATTAATAGTAATTAAAGGGGAATTATGGAAGATTAGATAAAGAGCCGACAGTTCTCGTTATAATAGTTAAAAATAGATAACGTAAAGAGAATATGCTGAAAATTAGGCTAGCTTCGAGCATCATTACTAAAGTTGGTACGATAAAAAAACCCAACAAAGTCTTGATTATCCATTTTTACGTTTAATTATCTTTCACAAAAAGTATTCAAATCCAGTAAATATTGTAGGCTAGCGATGACATTGAGTGTTGAATATGGTCTGGATAAATTAATTAATGTCTAATTAATAGTTTAGATAACATTTCAGTCCAATAAAATAAAATCAAGAAATACCTTCAATAACATCTCTGTAACTTCGAAATGGCCATAAGAACATGCATTATGAAGTGGCACCAAACCTCTGTAAAAAAAAAAAATTCAGGTTAAAATACAAGAATACAGCCATGGCAAATATGCTCTCTTACCACAAAACCATTGAAAATAATGCTCGTCAAAATAAATCAAAATCTCTAGATACCAGGCCCTGAGTTCACAAAGCATTCTCAGACTTAAATTAAGAATTTACTCTACTTCAATCACTGTTTATGAGAAACATCTTTGATCCAGAAATGTGAAAATTTGCACATGGTTTCTTATTGATGTATTTGATACATTAAAACAACAAAAGTTTTATAAAGGCCTAGATTTTAGTTAACTTAAGTCCGAGAATGCTTTGTGAACTCGAGGCCTGGTTGTTTTGATCACATTCAACATTTTGTTGTATAAATTAGTCTTGATTGTAAGCCTGGATCTTAATATCACATGGTTATAGTGTAGTAATACCAGACTTCTTTGTTGTGTTTTCTTCGTGATCGTAAATATAACTACAGGTTTATAGGTTGTTTATACAACTTTATTATCAAAATCGCTTGGCATCAATGTTCCTCGTTCTCAATAAAGAGGAGTATATAGCTTTTGATGCCTGCTCTGATAAACCGGGTGAGTGCTGATGAATTTCGCTCCACACCCCCTTTTATAACCCGCTAATTTCTTTACGTCATAGACTGATCTTGGCGTTAATTGGAGGAGAACATTACCTTATGTGATGGATATTTTGACAATGGAAAGGACAAAACCAGCGTGTTTACCAAATTATCACTGTTTTTATAAATAAACATATTATTCAATTTAATTTGAGTGTGTGAGATATGACTCGATACAAAGTGACCATCTAATAATTAGTTCAAGACATAATATGGTCGTGAGAGAGAGAATGAGAGAGAGAGAGAGAAATGGGGTTTAATGTTCACTTGCGCGTAGGGGTCTTTAGCAGTGGGAGGAAACCGGAGGACCTGGAGAAAACTCACAAGGTTGGACAGGCAACCCTACTCATTCGAAACCGGGGATTCGAAACCACGCCAGTTGACTCAATGACAGGCCTTATGATACAGCGTGCATGTGCTAACCATTCGGCCATCTAACCCCCCTAATATGGTCGTTATTACTACAATATTACTACAATAGAATGGCTAATCATCTAAGCTGTTGATTGCATTTTGTCGTGTAAATTAATGTTGATTGTAAGTCTGGGTTTTGATATGACATGGTTATAGAATGACTAAGCATCTAATGTGTTGATTACATTTTAAACCTGAACGAGTGTACAAGGGACAAAGCAAGTCTAATCCCAGTGTTTAACAACCCACTTCCTTTGCATAAGGAAGAAAATTCTGAATGATAATCTTGTAAATCTATTGTTGTTTAGACCATTGTATTTTTACTGTTAAATAAATTTATTGTTAAGTGGGGGAAGTTATGTCTGGTTTTGGGGTTATCATTAAAGAATAAACAGTCCTAAAATGAGACATTTGTCTTTATTAGTGCCAGAGATATGGTGTACCTACGTTAATCATACTTTTTCAAAAAAATGTGTTACCCTGGCAACAATTTTTTTCTTCCGTATTTTTAATGTTAGTTTTCCCTTGTTTATTATATTTCCTAACTAATTGTGTCTTTTTCACTTCACTAGCTTTAGAATTTCAGAAAGCATTTTTCGGGTAGCCTCACCCCTTAATTAATTGTACTTACCCCTTATCTTTAGCATGAACATCTGCCCCATGTTGTAGTAATAGTTGTACTATACGAGTTCTATTATAACCGGCTGCTAGATGTAATGGTGTAGACTACAAAATACAAATAATCTTGTAAATATTTGTATATTTTGTATCTGATGAGTCATATGACTCAAAGAATAAAAAACTTTGAACTTAGAACAAATTAACATGACAGATTTTTATCATGGATCAACATTGAGGCCAAGCAAGTATAAGACATGACCTGATGATAAAATGTGAAAGTGTTCAAAATAGTGTTAATCAGTGAGCAGCACTTTGTGTTTATTGCATAAATTGTTTATCAGCACATTGTGTTGATTAATTGGCCAGCACATTGTGTTAATTAATTGGCCAGCACATTGTGTTAATCAAATCAGAGGCACATTGTGTAAATCAAACAGGATACATTGTGTTAATTGATGGGCTTACAGCTAAATTACTCCATAACTTGTCATGTTTTTCGCGAAACAATGAATCCGATATATTTGTGATTTAAAGATACATTATGGGAGATAAGATAAAGAGATGGCAGTTCTCGCAACAATAGTTAAAAACTAGATAGTGTAAAGGTAATTTGCTGAAAATTTCAGTCAAATTGATCCACTATGAGCCGAGAAAGAAGCGGGTGAAATTTTCGCATAGTCTCGGTCATCATTACTAAAATCATTAATATAAACAGCATAGTCTCGATTATCAATGGCCATTAAGCGGCATATAGGAATCTAATCCAGCCAACATCGAAGGCTAGCCTTGACATCGAGAGTTGATTATGGTCTGGATAAGTTAATTAATGTCTAATTGATAATTTAGATAACATTTCAGGCCTAAAGAAAGACTTGTAATAAGCAGATTTTGCTCTTGCATAATGCATGTTTAATATTTCATTCATGTACATCACGACATGGAATCCCATTTACATAAATGTTATTATTTGATAGCCACAGAGAAAACAACAGGGCGCAAATTTCAAACGCATAATTCTCAATACTGAACTATATAAGATTCGTCGGTTCGCCAGAAATGCGACGATTTTGGAAATAAGTATCCACAGAATTAAATACTTACTTTTCTCCCATCACTAGCATGACAATTAACATTTAATGGTGTAATTAATGACATCATCTTTTCTTCATTACCACTTCGAGATACTTCTAGTAATTCATCCTTTTTATATTCACCTACAATTATATACAGAACTATAAGTATTTCAAAATTACATACAGAATTATAACTATTTCAAAACTATTTCATAAAAAATAAATATTCACAAAAAAATAGACAGAGAGAGAGAGAAATGGGGTTTAACGTTCACTCGACACAAACCAGGTCGCAGGGGTCTTTAGAAGTGGGAGGAAACCAGAGAGAGGACCCAGAGAAAACCAAAGAGGTTCGACAGGAAACCCTACTCATTGTCACATACAACCAGGGAATCGAAATCACGCCAGTTGACTCAATGACAGACCTTATGATACAACGCGACTCGCAAATCATTCGGCCATCCAACCCCGCCATTGAAAAGGGGAAACCGTGCCTGACAATCCTCAGGAACTTTCAGGATTTGTATAAAGAATCACTCACCTGTGAGGACTGATTTAGCAGAAGGATCTGATAATTCACAGGCAGTTTTGCCATCTGTGTTACGAATGTTAGGATCAGCTCCATGTTGTAATAATACTAAAATTATACAAAAATATGTTATTAATAATAATTCATTTATTTATAAATAAATAAAATTATACAAAAATATCTTATCAATAATAATTCATATATAAATGAAGGTAGTTTATACAGTTTCATTTAACTACTGCTGATAGTAAGATCTTACAAAATCCTAGGTTTAGAAATTCTATATTCTCTAAATCGAAAATATGCAATTGATGAGAGAGAGAGAGAGAGAGAGAGAGAGAGAGAGAGAGAGAGAGAGAGAGAGAGTTTAATGTCCACTCGACACAAACTAGGTCATTTTGAGACTAACACATGGTTCAATTTTATTTCTATAATTCGCTTACGCACAGGGGTCTTTAGCGACCCTACTAATTGTCACGTACAACCGGGGTTCGAAACCACGCCAATCGACTCAATGACAGACCTTACGATACAGCATGCTAACCATTCGGCCATCCAACCCCCCTATGGAATTGATGACCGCAGATATATACTCTGAAATTGAAAAATATAATGACTAAATTTTAATATTACCTATACAGACATCAACTTTCCCCTTAATAGCAGCTTCATGTAGAGGTGTGTAGTTCCAGTTATCTCTGGCATTGGCATCAGCGCCATGTCGTAACAAGAGTTGCACCACCTCAGCATGACCGAAAGAACATGCATTGTGAAGGGGTATCAGACCACCATCATCTCTAGCATGTACATTGGCTCCATTCTCTAACAAATGTTCAACAACATCTTTACGTCCAAATCCTACAAAGAAAATATATATAACATATGAGCTGAAGAGTATTTTCATGGAATTAAAAATCACCTTGGTTAAAAATACATTATGTAAGATTTAGATAAAGAGCTGACCATTCTTGCTATAATAGTTCGAAAATAGATAATGTAAAATAAATAATTTGAAAATTTCATTCAAATCGAGCAAAAATGTTGGCCTTTGTCTTTGAGGGTTTGACAAGATGTGCGCGATAATTTCAACCACTGAACTGATTGTTTGAAGATAAGTCTCGCTCCTCCATTTTTAGATTAAATCAAAATATGGCTGAACCATTCTAATCTATTTAATATCGGAGAAATCTGATGCCATCGAGAGTTGATTATGGTCTGGATCAGTTAATTAATGTTTAATTATTAATTTAGAAAACATTTCAGGCCTAAAGAAAGACCTGCAATAGGCAGATTTAGCTCTTGCATAATGTATGTTTAACAATGAAATGGAGTTTTATAAAATATCAGCTCCAACTAAGCTGTAAGTTCATATCTATAAATTAACTTGGTTAACACTGAAACAGAGTTCTATGGCATGTCAGCTCCAATCAGGCTACATGTATATCGTGCCAGAACTCTGTTAACAAAGACCAGCATGAGAATAATTCTCGCATAGCAACACAAGAAAAGTATGTATTTGAGACTTATTTAATGGACATACCAACAGGGGGTAACTGAGTTAGCATTCTCTGAATGTTGACTACATATACAGTTAATACTATTCTGAGTTGAGCCTCAACTGGAGGGCTACTACTACAATTATCAGGGTTAATGTCTGCTGAGATGTGGACAAAATGATCAGACCTTTATATAATTTTGAGTAACATTTAGACCATTGTCACTATTTGTCTATCAGTGCTACTGATCAAAGTCAGGAGATTTCTAGAAACCAAAGATGGCTTAAGGAATTTGTAATTCACAGTCTTATAATATGTACCCAACACTTAACCCATTATTAAATAAATATACTCCTATAGGAATGAAATCAAAACTATTGACGTAATTGACAGATGAACTAACAATAGACTAGTAAAACTAGGTAATGTTAGGAGGGTATTGTTTATCATGGTGGGGCCTCCATGACACTTCACACCTACCTAATCTATTGTCTATGATTTTAAGCACACCTTCCCTGTTGGTTCAAAGAACAATAGCTAGGTGGAGAATCACAGCATCTTCTCCACCCTTAAGTACATTTATTTTTATAGTTTTAGTAATTAAATAGACTTTCTTTTCCAGGCATTTATTTCCTTAGATTTGATTATCCCATCTGTGTGGCAGTACAATTTACTACCGTAATAGTAATAATTTAAGCTTATGTATTAGTTAAAACACATGTAAGCCTTGTCATAAATTTTTTTTATTTTAAATCAAAGGTTTATAAAAGAAATGACATTATGGTTTATTCTTTTAAATTAAACTTAACTATCAATTTCATTAAACATACATTATGCAAGAGCTAAATCTGCCTATTGCAGGTCTTTCTTTGGGCATGAAATATTATCTAAATTATTAATTAGACATTAATAATTAACTTATCCAGATCATAATCATTTCTTCCGGCTCCGTGCCATATTTACTTTTGCGATGTATAATGTACTGTAAAATTGGATAATCGAGACTTTGGTTGTTATCATACCAATGTCAGAAATGATGAATGAGACTAGCCTAAAATTCAATGGCTAATATCTTTGTTCAGGGTCAAGCAATTTGGCTGAAATTTTCAGCATATTTTGTTTTCATTATCTATTTTTTTTAGCTATTACAGCGAGAACTGTCAGCTCTTTATCTAATCTTATCTAATGCCCCTTTAAGCATTCTTTTGGTGAAATACACATATGATTTTAGATTTAGCAATTAAAATTGTGATTTAAATGCAGCTAATGAATGTTGAGATTTTGGCCATTTTTGTTCTAAATAGCTTTTCTCATGTACATGTAGCCTAACTTGAAGCATGTGTAGATTTCATTTTATCTGTATAATTGAATCTTATCTACATGTGGACAAGAAGTTGACCATTTGGCTGATCAGGTAATGTTGAACACATGCAGTTGGAAGATATTACTACCAGGGTATCACTGACCCATGACCTAGCCAACAATTAGTTGATATGGATCATTAACTAATGCTGGAGGTCAGTTTGATTGGCAGGTGTCATCCACTCTGGCCAATCAAATGGTCTGATTGTTGAACCAGTACTAGTTTGAGCTGTATTTGTAAATGAATGTAAATCCTGATTGGCTGTTTTATTGACATTGGAACAATATTTATTTCTTGACATGCTTGACAGACAGACAAGTATATTGGGGTCATTTACACCCAGTGGTTACAATACCCACTGACATTCATCAATACTCTAACCCTATTTTAACCATTCAATTACTTCTCACGACAAACAGCCAAATACATGTACTATACAACAAAATATCAAATAGGATCAATCCCCCAAGTCAAAAAGACAAAAATATTCAGATTAAACATACATTATGCAAGATCTAAATCTACCTATTGCAGGTCTTTCTTTAGGTCTGAAATGTTATGTAAACTATTAATTATACATTAATTGACTTATCCAGCCAATAATCAACTCTCGATGTCATCTTATGTGTCTGATTTTCTTTGGATTTAAATCTGATTTGCTGCTCAATGCTCATTGATGATTACATCCAAAAATGGATATCAAGACTATGTTTTTTATCGTACCGACTTTAGTAATGATGATCGAGGCTTGGCCTAAAATTCAAACGCTAGTATCTCGGTTCAGAGTGAAGGAGTTTGACTGAAATTTTCAGCATATTCCCTTTACATTATTTAGTTTTTTTAAATATTATAGTGAGAACTGCCAGCTCTTTATCTAATCTTCCATAATGTATCTTTAATATTTACTAGAAAGATGTTATGATATAAAGAGAGAGCGAGGAGAAATGGGGTTTAACGTCCACTCAACACAAAGTAGGTCATTTTGGGACTAACATATAGTTCAATTTTATTTCAATAATTCACTTGCGCATAGGGGTCTTTAGCAGTAGGAGGAAACCGGAGGACCCAGAGAAAACCCACGAGGTTGAACAGACGACCCCCTACTCCTTGTCACATACAACCAGGGATTTACTAGAAAGGTATTATGATATAAATAATGAGAGTAGGACACAACCTGTATTATAATAATTCCTCGACTTTGTTAGGTCAGTCTAACCAAAATAAATCCCAATTCTCTAACAACAGTCTCATGATTAATAATAAGCTTATTACTACACGATCTTATCCATTATAAATTTTGCAATAAAAATTCTTACACTCAGAAAAAAATCCTTAGTTAAGATTTTTAAGTAATTTCTTAAATAAATTCTGCTTGTGCTTTGTATGTATTTTGATATTTTAAATGACGGGGCCACAAGCAGATGGATGGTGGATATTCAGCATATTTGCTACTTGAATTCAAATAAAGCAATTAGGTTTACATTCTCATCAACATCATTTCTATGGTAATGAGAGAGAGAGAGAGAAATGGGGTTTAACGTCCACTCGACACAAACTAGGTCATTTCGGGACTAACATATGGTTTTAATTTTATTTCAATAATTCGCTTGCGCGTAGGGGTCTTTAGCAGTGGGAGGAAACCGGAGGACCCGGAGAAAACCCACGAGGTTGGACAGGGGATCCTACTCCTTGTCACATACAACCGGGGAATCGAAACCCCGCCAGTTGACTCAATGACAGACCATATGATACAGCGCGCGCGTGCTAACCATTCGGCCATCCAACCCCCCTCTATGGTAATGTGTTGAATGTGAGAGGGAGGATTTTGGCCAATGTAACCAACAACAATTCCATCTACTTTTCTCTGAGGGTCTTTGACAAACATGCATAAAGACTTGGCATCACTTCTTTGACAGCTCCCTAGATGCAAAAACTGGGACTTTTCTTCTGTGCTTATGTTGGTCCCTCCCAATAATTGAAACAATAAAGTTATAATGATGGGTTGCAATATTGGGAGGAATTACTGCTATGTACGGTACATGTTGCGGAATTATGCCATTAAAACATAGCCATGTAAGCAGGATTCAAAATTTGTATTATTTCTATGAACAGACTTGTTATTATGCAATTAAACATATGATAGTCTACATGTATAGTGTAGCCTATTTACCAGTCAAGTTGGAAGTTGATGTTTGAGAGACTTTCAAATGTGTAATTTATACTAAGGATAACGAAACACAAAACAGATTGCAGCCAATTAAATTTGACCAGCTATACAACTTTACTTCACACAATATGTTTTCCTTTTGAATTTTCCTTATGGAGGTTTTTTACTGTAGACATTAAATGAAATCGGGTTAACATACTACTTTTCTGCATGTAGACATTAGGCTTAAGTTAGGCTAACAGTAAACATATCATAATATCACTATTTCTATTACCTATGTTACATTTCTTATGGTTAACTGAATTAAACAAAAATAAATGTTTTCTTCAAGTATGTCTTATGCACGATATTTATTACGGTATGAGTATACCGGTACAGAAATATTGGTGAATAAGCTTCTTGATTCTTAACCATATTTAAATGTAAACTAGCATCATGATTTATTTGTTGTTGTTAGGTCAACAGGTGGGATATTTGACAGTATTTGATGGGCAGTGAATATACAATTTGAGACCACGATAAACATTACGTCTTGTACTATTGTAGGTCTAATTCAAATCCATGTGGTGGATACATTTGAAATGCAAGTTGGACAAACGTTTTCTCTATTCAGTATTCAAATTTGAGGAAAGGACGTGTTGTTGTTGTTTCTCGATGTAACAAAACAAAAATATACCAGGCCTATTCTAGAAAGTTTTTAAAGAGGAATACTCGAAATGGCCAAAGTATTGGAGATGCAGTCATGGTCAGTGGTCAGTCAGGACTCGCACAGTAGGCAGAGAATTACAAAAAAATAAGCTAAAATTTAGTAAAAAATTCTCACCAGCAGCGAAATGAAGAGGGGTAGATTTTCGTCCAGCTGTGTCTTTGGCGTTCACATTTTGTGTAGTGACATACTTTTTAACTTTTCCTAGGTCACCGTTTCTACAAGCTTCAAATAATTCTCTACCAGATTCATTTTGGGACGATAAATTTGCATCATTAGTTAATGCAGCCCTTCGACTAGCAGCCATTTTCACTACACATATTCTCGTACCACCACGCGAGACTGCGAGATTGTTGATTTTGAAATTTTGTGCAGAATACCAAAATAAAGTGGTCTTTCTTTTCTGGCAAAATAAAAATTGTTAATAAACGTGTTGGTAAGAGAAATATAAATATATCAATCCCGACAAAAACTGACATACGCTATTAAAACATGGTTAATTAAATATGTTAACGACCAATCAACTCACAATAAAAGCATGACACCGGTCAAGGCGGGAAAACAAAACCACGTGTTTTGGCAGTGGTTAATCAAACGGAAACTAGTTTGTGTAACTTGCATCTGACGCTAATGCGATTTAGAGTCTAAGATGTCTTCTGATACTGATGAAATGGGGGGTGACACTGAAGAAGAAGTGATGACGGCGGCAGAAGTTCTAGAAAAACTAGAAGAGGTTTATTTTGAACCGATTTATTATTAGTCGCCAAATCTAAATTTAGATGTGTCAACCGTCCTACTTTCGATTTCCAGCTCTGAAGAGAGAAAGAGCACCAACAAATCATAACTCTTGCTGGTTCCATCGACGGTAGTGGAAAATAACAAGGATTATGTTGACTAAGTGTTGTAATCATCCAATTATGATATTATCATGTACAAAATATTTGCTGAAAAATACTAATAAAGCTAACCTCCAAAATACATAATCAAAAAACTATATCATAACTAGTTTACTACATAAATAAGTACAATCATACATGTAACATACCGGGTATATATATAAAGATTGGAAATGGAGACACTGTAGCCTGTTCTTATATCGAAATTTCAACTGTCAAGGGTTTTTTTGGGTTTTTTTTGCATGCACACTAATATTTTCTTGGAACTTGTTTTTTTTGTTCCATCCGAACAACTGTCAGACCTTCTGACATCACTGACAAGTTAAAACCACACTGTAAAATCCCAGCTTAATAAGGATGGACAGGAACTATATGTATTGAGTTATTGTGAATTTAATCAGAGAAAACAAAACCACATAAAAGATCCCTCGACAGTTGGAATTCGATATAAGTGTCCAAAAATCTTCAATTCCTTTCAGTACGGTATTTACAAAGATACGAGGAATTGAAATTTCAACAGTCGATGCTGTTCACTATGTACATGTAATAAGCCCACTGCCATTTTGTTTTCTGCGAAAATTTATTGATAGGCCTGTTTTAAATCTGATGGAATCCAAGAAGGGACATTATCTTGATTTTGTTATCCTAATTATTGATTAAATAATCAAAGTTGAGTACGGATTAAAAGGGGAGAGAGGAATATGGGTTAACATTGACTTGACACAAAGTAGGTCATTTCGGTACAAACACAAAATTCAATTTTTCAAAATATAAAATAAACCATAAAACGCTACTCACAATAATAAATTTACTAATAAATCTGGAAGTGAATAAGAAAATCATCCAGGCATTTTATGACCCCAGCTTGTGATAGTGTTCAGTCAATGTTATGTGGGTATATGAATACAGAGCCCTCACATAGGGGAGGGCTGAGGGAGGGAGGTGACACTTCTTGGGGGGCAGCAAATTATCAAAATGCATATTTGAATAATTAAGGACTAGCCTCCTTGGAGGCTGCGATAACAACTCACTGAGAGGGTAGAATTATGATTTTTCCAAAATATAGGATTTTGCGATCAAGGTGAGATAAACATAAAAATTTTACATATATAAGTTGATTTAATGAATAGTTATTTAGATAAAGTGTTAAAAGTATAAAAGATAGGTTGCCAGGCAATGAAACATACGCTAACAACAGCAAAGTCGTTCAAAATTGATAGGCTTCTTAGCCTTTAGAACACCCACAAGATTTTTCACCAAGGGTCATAACTCTAGCAGTAATTATCGGAAATCTTTTAAAACCAATATTATCCTTCGTCTCATGACCTTAAACACTATTTATAAATTTAAAGTCAATTAGATATTAACTTTAGCCTCCAGAACGTCCACAAGATTTTTTAGAGTGATCAAGGGCCATAACTCTGGCAGTAATTATTGGGAATCGTTTAAATTCAATAGGCAGAGGCTTCTTCGTCTCATGACCTTTAACTTCTAGAGCAATTGTGGATGCAAGACCAACGACAATATACAACCACATTTTAATGTGGGTGTATAAAAATTGTATTTTAAACTTTCTGTAATCATAAAACATCAACTGTGCACAGGCAATGAACAAATCAGTTACAGTATGCAAAAAGAGGGGGGGGGGCATCGCAGAAACTTTTGTCCTATAGGCTTGTGAGGGCCCTGTATGAACATAGGAGATGACTGCAACCATTAATACCACCAATGCTACTGGTGGGACGTTCTTATCCACATAACACTGACTGAACACTACTGCATGGGTGCAGTTATATAAAAAAAAGTCATATAATTTGATAATGATAAAAACATAAAACGTCATGAAATATGGTAAAAACATTAAAAAATTATCATAAAATTTGATAAAAGTATCATATAAAGCATAAAATTACAATGAAATTTTTGATAAAAATATAAATTTTTGATAAAAATCGCTGTACGGTCCCTGCATTCACCCCGCCCACCCCAATTTAAAAGAAAAGCATGGCTAATTCCTTTGTTATAGGAAAGTAAAGAACTGCTTACAAATATATTCATGCATGACAATCTTCCCTACCTGAAATCATTATTGACAAACATCTCCAAGATATTCTACACAATCGGCAATCACACTGTTTTCAACACCTCAGGCTGACCTTAAAAATATCTTTGTTTCACCAAAAAGTCAGAGAAATCAATACAGAAAACTTATTAGCTGTATACTACAGATTCATTAATTTTGTTTAATGAATTTTGGGTCCGACGTAAAAAGTAACGAACTTAAAGTTTTTATTAAACTTAAGAGCTAATTTGACAGCTTGATAATTTTCCGGGTGGAAACATTCGTCTTCTTTATTGGCAAACAAATCAATGACATCGGGATTTTTCGTGATGCACGACTCGCACACGATTTGCCACGAACTTGAAGTGTGAAACTCCTTCAACACGTTTTTAACGATCGTGCGGGTTGTGCCTTCTTTTTTCTCGAAAAACGGATTTTAAAAATATCATCGTCATGTTTAAAACGACGCCCCACAGACATAGAGGCAGAATCATTTCGTGCAAATGGATGTGCTTTCGTCTGCAACCATTTTGTTGAGAAGCGACACCTATGACGCTTTCATCTTGATCAACCAGTTTCAATAATGAACCAAACCATAGCCATAGTAAAGGGAAATAACTCTTGTGATATATTTCAGGTTGACACACAAAATAAAATAAAAAGATCGTGGAAAAGTGCAATAAAATAATTTAAGTCGGGGGTGGTTTTAGTTAGTCGTCGCGTTGGGCGAAACAAAGATATTTTTAAGGTCAGCCTCATCTTGTATGTATATCTGGGGGGTTGAATGGCCGAATGGTTAGCACGCGCGCGCTGTATCATACGGTCTGTCATTGAGTCAACTGGCGGGGTTTCGATTCCCCGGTTGTACTTGACAAGGAGTAGGGTCGCCTGTCCAACCTCGTGGGTTTTCTCTGGGTCATCCGGTTTCCTCCCACTGCTAAAGACCCCTACGCGCAAGCGAATTATGTAAATAAAATTGAACCATGTGTTAGTCCCAAAATGACCTAGTTTGTGTCGAGTGGACGTTGAACCCCATTTCTCTCTCTCTTGTATGTATATCTCAAAACACAGGCCTGAAATAAAACAGTAATTAATGAAATATTTTATTTGATTTTTTCTCTAATTATTTCTATTTTGTTTAAAAAAACAGGCATGGTTGAATGAAAAGTTTTCACCAGATCTCTTAGAAACTAAAACAGATTTAGTAGAATGTATGTTAGAACAAATAACAGCCATGGAAGAGAATATACAGAGAGCTAAGAAAGGTGATTTTAAAATCAGTATCCACAGGATGGAGGTAAGTACGAATTTCTAAACGGGGGGGGGGGGGGGGAGTTGAAGACAAAATTTATGAAAGGATCATAATAAAGCAGTAACTTAAAAAGGTTTTAAAAGGTATCTCTTATCTTTACTTCTTAAGAAAAGGATACAAGTACGAATTTCCTGTCTTGTAGAGGAGGGGGTGGGTAAGTGGGTGGATGGCCGAATGGTTAACATGTGTACCTTTAATCATAAGGTCTGTCATTAAGTCAAGCAACATGGTTTCGATTCCCAGCTTGTATGTGACAAGAAGTAGGGATTTTCCCCCCAAATCCTTCAGTTTCCTCCCACTGCTAAAGACTCGTATGTGCAAATAAATTGTTGAAATAAAATGAAAGCATATGTTAGTCCTGAATAAAATGAAAGCATATGTTAGTCCTGAAAAGACAGAGATTGTGTTGTGCGGACGTCAAATCACATCTCACTCTCTGTTTGAAGAAAAGCCAGACTGTCCACTCTGGTTGTGCCACACGTGGAGTGAACATCTGTCTTGGGGATCCAGTCATGGTAAGCTTATGGTGGACAGATACTGTAATCATTCTGCTTTAAACCTGGGTGGCCGAATGGTTAGCGCGCGTTGTATCATTAGGTCTGTCATTGAGTCAACTGGCATGGTTTTGATTCCCCGGTTGTACATGACCAGGAGTAGGGTTGCATGTCCAACTTCGTGGGTTTTCTCCAGTTTCCTAACACTGCTAAAGACCCCTATGTGCTAAGAGGTGCTAATTATTGAAATAAAATTGAACCATATGACATGTTAGTCCTGAAATGACATGGATTGTGTCAGTAGAGGTTAAACCCCATTTCTCTCTCTCTGTGTGTGTGTGTCTCTCTCTCTCTAGAGCATAGGTTCCCAACCTTTTTTGGGTGGCGACCCCATTCCAGACCCAGGATCCGATCGCAACCCCTCGAAGAACAGTCATATTTTACTATGAAACATCATTATCATTCACTTTTATTATTGTGTACTTATTAAAAGTCTGATAACATATTATTGATTTTTTTAATCAGTGTGATGGTTGCGCCTGTTTTTCAGCGACCAGGTTTTCAATGCGTGGCTCAACGCCACTCAGCGCGAAAATCATGTCCCTTTCTATTTCAAGCTGGTTCCTAAATTTTGTTTTTATCACAACCATTGTAGAAAATGACTGTTCGCATAGGTATGGGGACGGGTACGGCATGAGGAGCCGTGTTGCATTCTTGGATAGACGTGGATAGGATTCAAGCATTTTGCACCAGTAACTGGACAAAGACAAGGACTTGTACAGTGATTTAGCTCTGGAATGCTGCTGCAGTCTCACAAGCTCCTCTTGAACGATATCACCGTCGGTGATGGCGTCTAATTGTACACTGTATGTGTCTAGCACCACAGTGAATGACTGGATGTCGAGCTCTGGGAAGTAGTGTTCGAACTGATCGATCAGTGACTGAAGATGTTCAGTGATTTCAGCGAGATCAAGCCTTCTATTGAAGATGTATAGATAGATTACATGAAAAGATAGCATTTTTTTTTAAAAGTTCTCGGACTAGTCTGCGACCCCACGAAAAGTGGTCGCGACTCAGAGGTTGGGATACGCCGCTCTAGAGTCCAGTTGATGCTGAGGTATTGATACGAAAGTCTAGAAATATGACATCTGTTGCAGATACTGTCGTCAGATGTGGTTACACACAATGTCATTTGTCTTTTTTCTACATGTTTTATTGATATTCTAAATACATGTCTGGCACAAGATCCAAAATACCAGGTATTAGTTAATTAGTCAGGTAAATCATTAATTCCACACCTGTTCGTAGGACTGCTTTATTTCATGTTTTTCTGTATATTTTACAGATAGATAGAATAAGATATGTTCTCAGTAGTTATTTACGAATACGTTTAAAAAAGGTGAGTATATTGGTAATTGCACAGTTTTTATATAATGGTAACTGTCGGTATGAGACTAATAAAATTACAACTAGACCTACTTAAGGTACATTAGGGGAGATTAGATAAAGAGCTGGCAGTTCTCACTATAATAGTTAAAAACTAGATAATGTAAAGGGAAATTTTAGTCAAATTGATCCACTCTGAACCAAGATTTTAGTGATCGAATTTTTGGCCTGGCCTCGATCATAGTTACTAAAGTAGGTACGATAAAAAACATAGTCCTGATTATCCATTTCATGATTTTATCATCAATGGAATTCGAATAGCAAATCTGAACCTAATCCAATAAAAATAGCAGACTAGCAATGACATCGAGACTTGATTATGGTCTGGATAAATTAATTAATGACTAATTAATAAATTATATAACATTTCAGACCTAAAGAAAGACCTGCATTAGGCAGATTTAGCTCTTGCATAATGTATGTGTAGTTAACATCAAATACCAGGAAATTCATATAGATAAATATTTTTGTCAGGCAGTATTTATAAGCATTTATGCTTGGTTTCATATCCTAGTAATATAATTGTAAACATTGCAAATAAATATTATTTAAACCAACTAGTAAAAATCGACAAAAAGACTATTCAAATAGAAAAAATATTTTTGTTGTGCTCAAGTAGTAAAAATTGACAATGTATAAATTTGTTGTTCATGAACTATGTGGTCTAAGGGGAGATAATATAGGTATATGGAAGAGTTACCTCCCCTCCATATTTGTCCACTATCTGAAAATGAATTAAACATAACTCTGTGACCCAGGTATCATTTAATCTTGTGTATCTAGCACTAATTTTTTTCACGTTTGTTTAATATCGAATCTTTGTTTAAAACTTCGTAAAAATCGTTTAAAATCACCCCAAATATTCTAATTTGTACTAGAGTCCGGTTTAAAGCTGACTGATTAATTTTGATGAGTGTCCAATTTACAAGTATATAATTGTTTGACCACTGTTAAAAAATTAATCATTATGCATCAATAATCAATTGGGTTGTTTATTTTTTAACAATGACTGAGAAATTCAATGCTTGTAAATTGGACACTCATTATCAAAATTGAATGGTCAACTTTAAACTGGACACAAGTACAAATTGGATGATTTGGGGGGATTTTAAATGATTTTTACGAATTCGATTCCCACTCCAAAAGTTTGGTTCCGTCCTTGAATTATTTTGCATTTTTAACTCATTGTCATAACCTTTGCAGCTCTGCCTTCCATCTGTCTGTCCAATTATTTTGGCATTTTAATTTCTTCTGAACTGCTTATGGATGCTTACCCACAGTGGGATGAAAGTCATAAACACTTAACCTCAAAATATAATGTTAGATATAAAAGAATATAAATTAGTCAAGTTATTTCTTTAAAAAATTCAACTGGCGGGGTTTCTATTCCCCGGTTGTACGTGACAAGAAGTAGAGTCGCCTGTCCAACCTCGTGGGTTTTCTCCGGGTCCTCCGGTTTCCTCTCATTGCTAAAGACCCCTACGCCCAAGCGAATTATTGAAATAAAATTGAACCATGTGTTAGTCCCGAAATGACCTGGTTTGTGTCGAGTGGACGTTAAACCCCATTTCTCTCTCTCTTTAAAAAATACATTCACTGCAAGTGGAAATGAATAATAGCACCATTTAAATCTGGATAAAACCTGAAAATAGTGCAACAATTTTATGTAACCAATTGGTTACACAATGGTCATCTGGCATAGAAAACGGCTACACAGAACATCAACCATCAACCGGCAACCATTTTTCTGGTTATGTCAAAATTTGAAATTTCATGGCCTGCTAGCCTCTCTCTCTCTCTCTCTCTCTCTCTCTCTGAAATTCTGATATGTGTGAATAATTATTTTACAGATTGAGGATTTTACAGCTTATATATTACATCAAGAATCTCAAAGAAAAGAAGAAGATTCTCCGTTATTATCACCAGAAGAATATAAATTTGCTAAAGAGTAAGTTTTCTTTTATATACTTAAACTTCTATGAGTGGTATTTAGTAATTGAACAGTGACACACTAAGGCTGACCTTAAAAATATCTTTGTTTCGCCTAACGCGACCGACTAACTAAAACCACCCCCGACTTAAATTATTTTATTGCACTTTTCCACGATCTTTTTATTTTATTTTGTGTCTCAACCTGAAATATATCATGAGAGTTATTTCCCTTTACAATGGCTATGGTTTGATTCATTATTGAAACTGGTTGATCAAGATGAACGCGTCATAGGTGTCGCTTCTCAACAAAATGGTTGCAGACGAATACACGTCCATTCCCACGAAATGATTCTGCCTCTATGTCTGTGGTGCGTAGTTTTAAACATGACGACGATATTTTCAATATCCGTTTTCGAGAAAAATGAAGGCACAACCCGCACTATCGTTAAAAACGTGTTGAAGGAGTTTCACACTTCAAGTTCGTGGCAAATCGTGTGCGAGTCGGGCATCACGAAAAATCCCGATATCATTGATTTGTTTGCCAATAAAGAAGACGAATGTTTCCACCCGGAAAATTATTAAGCTGTCAAATTAGCACTTAAGTTTAATAAAAACATTCAGTTTCTTTCCCTTTAAATCAGACCCCAAATTCATTAAACAAAATTAATGAATCTGTAGTATACAGCTAATAAGTTTTCTGTATTGATTTCTCTGACTAAAAAAAAATCTGAAAAAAAAACCGACCTACCGACCCTTCTCCTCGATTGTGGGTCGGGTTTGGTGAAACAAAGATATTTTTAAGGTCAGCCTAACCACTATATATGGAATAACAATTACTGGTTTATTGAAAAATGAAATGAAATGAAATGGGGGTTTAACGTCCATAACTGGACTAATGAAGACGGCCATACAGTGTGCTATCAGGGAAATTTTACCCGGGCAGCGGCGCTACGGCCTATTCTTATATTGAACTCTAACTGCCAAGGGATCTTTTGTGTGCATGCCAGTGTGTATACGGGACCTCGGTTGCCGACCGAGTAGACAGCTGTCCTTGTCAGGCCCTCCATCCTGCAACACTGACAAGGGGGAACCACCCTGGAAAATCTGGATGAACTTTCTCGGCCAATGCGGGGATTGAACACCCGACCTCCAGGCTAGCGAGCCAGCGTCTTAACCACCTAGCCACTGTGATCCCCTTCTGGTTTATTAACATGCAACGTTTCCACGATGACGCTCTTGTCTGTTACGGCAAGTTTTTGGCATGAGGTGCACGGAACTGTGGATAACCCACTAGAAACGTCAACGCTGATTGGTTAATCAAAGGATTAAAAGCCGAGTGTATGACCTCTGACGCAACCTTCCACTAAAAATGGTCAGATATTCATGTAGTAGAGGTCATCGAAAGTATAAAAAAAAACGAAGAGAGAAAGATAGATCTGGGCCTGTTTCACAAAATTTTAACTAAGATAAAATCCAAATATTAGTAATTTGATTGGATATTATGAGATTGATTTTAGCGCTTAGCCAATCAAAATTGAAGTATCTACTAAAATTTGGATTTTATCTTTAGTTAAGATTTCGAGAAACAGGGCCCTGTATTTTAATCAATTTGATTATGCTTGGTAAATTAAATACACCATGATTATATTACACAATATGAATGGTACTTGAATATCCCTGTACCCGTTAACCCCTCATCCCTTATCTCTCTACCTCCTGAAAACACATTAATGTCGCCTGTCCAACCTCTTGGGTTTTCTCTGGGTTCTCCGGTTTCCTCCCACTGCTAAAGACCCCTACACGCAAGCGAATTATTGAAATAAAATTAAACCATATGTAAGTCCCGAAATGACCTAGTTTGTGTGAGTGCATGTTAAACCCCATTTCTCTCTCTCTCTCTCTCACACATTAATGTGTATATCAAAACATCCTTGGCAGATGGAATTCAAAATATGGTAGGATGAAATGCCGCTGTCAATGCAAATATCTTTTCTGGGCCGGCGTTCATTACCCCAGTTGGTGCAGACAAATAAGACGTTAAACAACAGTTTGTTTCATTTCATTTTGATGCCACATTTGGTGTATGCTCCAGAGGCTGGCTGTCACAGTTCAAAGGCTAAAGTTATTATCGGTTTGTCCATATGTCTGTCCACAATTGCTTGTTGATGGTCTAGAGGTTGAAGTTAATATCTGATTGACTTTAAATTTATACACAGCCTTTAAGGTCATTAGATGAAGAATCCTATTGATTTTTAAAGATTTCTAATAATTACTGCCAGAATAATGGCCCTTCAACACTTTTTAAAATGTTATGGACACTGTGGAGGCTAAAATTACCATTTGATTGACTATACATTTATACACAGCAAACTATGATAGTTATGGTCTTGATTACTTTGAAAAATCACATGGTGCTCTTGGTGTGTATGGTTATGAGATGATTTCCAATAATTGCTGCCAGAGTTATGGCCCTTGATTTCTTTGAAAACTGTTATGGTTGTGTTGAGGCTAAAGTTATATAAAGTGTTTAAGGTCATGAGACGAAGAATCCTATAGATTTTTAAACGATTTCGTTTTGTTACTGCCAAAGTAATTCCTGTTTATAAGTTTGTACATTTTTGTGGATGCTCAAGTTTATAAATAAGATTTTGAGTGCCTTTATTTTTACGCACTGTGTTCATGTTCATAAAATGAAGAAGGCTAGAATTATTTTTAAAGTTATCACCCTTGATCACTTTTTAAAATCTTGTGGACCCTCTATTTGTTAAAGTTGTTTTCTTGTTGATTTGAAATTAATAAACAGTGTCTATTTTAAGAAACTTTTAAAATCATCTAAAATTGCTAAAGCCAAATCATGTCCAATTACTGATAAACACGTTCAATTTGGAAACAGTATTAGAAAATTTATTACATATAGAGATACAAACTATAATGATGCTAGAAACCTTGACGAAATTATCAACTATTTATGTACATCATAGAGAAAAGTGTACTTATATTACATAAGTAAATAATTATGTAAATTATGAGTACGAAAAAACGCATTATTATTTTTAATTTCCAGCGATTTCCGATAACTCAAACGGATAAATTTATTATATTACCAGTATGGTTTGTATAATAAATGTTAGCATCTTCAAGGACCAGAAACAAACAAAATTTATTTATTTTTAATCATTACTACTTAATGGGTTGTTATGCTTGATTTTAGTGTTTTGCAATGTTTTCATTACCTATAAAACAATAAATATTCGACAATCCTTGTGGATTTCAGACGACTTAGTTACTGTTACTGTGGGCATATGTTTCGTTGCCTGACAACAAATCTTGTTATATTTGATTTGTTTTCATATCATCAAAAACTATTGTCAGTGTTGGCTGACTGCTTTGATTTGACATGATAGTATAAAAAATATAACCATATTACTATAAACTATATTTTAAACATAGGTTAGGTCTATTTGAGAAGGCCAACTTCAAAAACTGGGCTAGCGCGAATCCCAACCCTAACCCTGGCCCTAGCCCCAGTGCTTATGTGGAGACATAACCTCTCCCCCAAATTCTTAAACCTAACCTACAATCTTGCCAACAATCACATGCCCTAACCTTATTTACATCTCAGCGACCATGACAAAAATGGAGCTGGCCTTAACAAATAGATTTAGCCTTCAAACTACTCATTTTACACTTTTCCTTGAAAGAAGTACAACATTAATTTGCAGTGTGATTTTCTGGAGTACCGATATTCTCTGTACATGAATATCCCTAGTGCTTTCATTGTCTGAAGGTCATAGTTTAGTAGAATACAGGCATGGTTATAGTGTAGCCTTCAACCTGAAACATCTGCTGATGGTTTGTACAAGAGGTGAAAAACACATGTTCTAGAAAACTCCATGGCTTGAGATCAGAAATCATGTGCTTTATTGGAGTTATCTCCCTTCTCACACAGAAGAAAAAAAAAGCCAACCCAAAATGCTTCATTGGCAGAACATATTATGTTATGTAAGGAATGAAATGAAATAGACGTCCTACTGTTCTGTTCCTATTGGGCTAATGCAGATGGGAATACGCCATACAGTGTGCTATGAGGGAAAATTTGCCCGGGCAGCGGGCTGCCCTTATATAAGACTTGAGACAATCAATGAAATGACTTTAGTTTCAGTAAAGATCCCTCAGTCAATTTCAACCCAATCAAACCATTAATATTTATATGTATTTGAAGTGAGACTAAAGTGTATAAAATATGTTAGAAAATATTCAAATATTTTGAATTTTCAGGTATCAGACCAGTGTAGAAGGTCATTTTAACAGTTTAGCCCTTCGACATATGCCAGCCAACTCACAAACTCTAGATCCCAAGCTAACAGGTAACTAAATACACTTTTATAAGGCCCTAGAAAAATATACTCTGGTTCTTAGACAATCCTTAAAACAAAGCTGAATGCTTGTATGGAGAGAGAGAGAGAGAGAGAGAGAGAGTTTAATTTCCACTCAACACAAACTAGGTCATTTCTGGACTAACATGTGGTTAGCAGTGGGAGGAAACCGGAGAAAACCCACGAGGTTGGACAGACGACCCTACTCCTTGTCACGTACAACTGTGGAATCGAAACCACCCTAGTTGACTCAATGACAGGCCTTTATGATACAATGCGCACCTGCTTACCACTCGGCCATCTCTAATAGGAATATCAGTCAAACAAAGTCCATAAATGGTTCAACAAATAAATCTATTGGTATACGTGACAAACATGTATTTCAACACTAATATAATATAAGTCTAGTAAATCATCTGTTTTCAAGTATATTTCTATAAGATTGCTAGTCAATAAAGTTACAATAATTGAGAGAATTAAAGATATATTTTGTTTGGTTAGATTAAGTTTGGATATTTTATTTACTTAGATTAAGTTACGATAAGATAAGTGATCTATTATTCAACAAGCATTATCACTTCGAACAAGAAAACAAATTTATATAAAAAAAGTAAATAGGTTTGCCTATTTATTGACAGCTCTCCGCCAAAAAGTCTCCAGAGCAGGTTTTTCGCTTCAATATAGGGCAGGCGGTCAATTTTTTATTTACCTCAGATTAACAAGTTTGTTTTTTTGTTTTGTTTTCAAGGAATTGGACAGTTTTTAGCTTAATCCTAATTTTTAGATTCATTTTTAGATGTTTTTAAGTTTAAGTTGGGTAGGTCAATCAAATAAAATGAAATGGAGTTTAACGTCCTACTATTCTGCTCCAACCGGGCTAATCAAGACGGGCATATGCCATAAAGCATACTATGTGGTAAATACACCAAGTTCCAATTGTCATGAGTGTACACAGTAGTTCAGTTTCTTTGTCCAATCCGAACAAGGATACCTTGTCCCTTCCCAGGCCCTCTATCCTGCATCACGCAAAACCTAGTAACTCACTTTTTTTATCAAATTTGAATTGGGACCAAATTTGTAGTTACTAGGGTATGTGCTTCCTGTTGTTGTACTAGATATTCCAATCTTTTGATTTTGTAAGCAGTTACAACCATGACACAACCTAGCAACTTCCTTCATTTGCCTAGTATACCACAGAAAAACCTAGTAACTCAATAGTCAAATTAATGGATGAGCTGGGGTTTAATATTCATTCATTACGTTTTCCTTTGTTTTCTCAAAATAAGAAAAAAGTGAGTTACTAGGTTTTGCCTTTTGATGGGAGAATTGAGAACGATGTTGGAAAATCCTGATGCACCCATGATCCAACACCCCAGAGGTTAGCGAGCCAACATCTTATTCTCTGAGCCACCACGGCCCCCGTCAGTCAAATATGGCTGAAACGAGTGCACAGCTCTAAAGCTTTAAGATCTAAAGAAAAGGTGTTGTATCATAAGGTCTGTCATTGAGTCAACTGGTGTGGTTTCGATTCCCCGGTTGTATGTGACGAGGAGTAGGGACGTCTGTCCAACCTTGTGGGTTTTCTTTGGGTCCTCCGGTTTCCTCCCACTGCTAAAGACCCCTACATGCAAGCGAATTATTGAATAAAAATGAACCAAATGTTAGTCCCGAAATGACCTAATTTGCGTCGAATGGAGGTTAAACCCCATCCGCGATATTTAGCGGACTGGAATACATTTTTTTTGAAAAAATAATTAAACGTTAAAATGGCTAATCAAGACTTTGTTTTTTTATCATACCGACTTTAGTATAATAATAATAATAATAATAAAAACTTTATTTAATGAGGCAACGTATTTAGTTTGCAAAAAAACCCCTAATCTTCCATAGGTCCCTCCTAAACTACAAAGACATATATACATGTAATATCAGGATAAATTTAAAATCATTAGAAATGCAATAATGATGATTGAGGCTAGCCTAAAATTTAAAAGCTAATATCTGGGATCAGAGTGGAGCAATTTGACTGAAATTTTCAGCATATTCTATTTACGTTATCTATTTCTTAGCTATTATAGCAAGAACTGTCAACCCTTTATCTAATCTGCCATAATGCCCCTTTAACAACACAAGTTTTCAATAACTGTGAAACACAAGCTTTCAATAACTGTGAAACGCAACGGTTCAACAGAGGATTAACAACAGGTTATAAGAGTGTGAAAGTTTGGGTTGTTAACCACACCTTGGGGTTTAAAAACTTTTCTCTGTCAGACTATCTGTAGTGACTGCACAAAGTAAATTAAACAGTCAAAAATAGAGCTGGGTAATTAATATACGCCCAGCAACCTTTTGAAGGCTGGCTTTCTTTTGGTCAGAGGCATTAAAGGTACATTATGTAAGATTTAGATAAAGAGCTCACCATTCTTGTTATAATAGTTTAAAAGTAGATCATATATAAAATGAAAATATTGAAAATTTTATTCAAATGACTTCATTTTCAGCCAAGTTAACACTGTTTGTAGTTTAAACAAGATGTGTGCATTGTGGTAACCAGGGCACTGGTATATTTGAGACTTAGACTAGCTTTCCCATTTTTAAATGGTGAACCGTTCTAATCTAGTTAAAATCTTGAGTATCCGATGCCATCGAGAGTTGATTATGGTCTTGTTTTGTTAATAAATGTCTAATTAATAGTTTATATAACATTTCAGGCCTATAGAAAGACCTGAAATAGGCAGATTTAGCTCTTGCATAATATATGATTAACTAGCTATGAATAATAACTTTGGAAAAAAATCTCATGGAAAAATCATTTGTACAAATTTTGATAGTGTTCCTCCTTTAGACTGACTGAAAAAAGTCCTGCAAGTTTGAAAAAAGGGTAGTGTCGGGGGTAGTAAATCTGTGATATATACGATAGGGTTCCATTGTAGGAATTGCCGACTAAAATCTGCCAATTTGAAACAAAAATATATATAAAAAACTGCCCTGTAGTGTGTTTACCCTGCTGTCGATATTCAGAGTTGTGCAAGAAGTTTTTCATTAAGTTACTGCTCTTGTCACCAAAACCATTGGGATGCTGGATTGTCAGTCAGCCTGGAAAGTCGCGAATTGACAAAATTGCAATCGAGTGAAGTGGAATTCACAGTTCTGTCAGTTCCGACAAGAGAGATGGTGTGAGTAGAATCTTCACATAACTAAGCACAACGCATCTCTCCACGCATGGGTTGTAGCATGAAATTCCCGATTTCACTCGATTGTCACTATTTTCAGGATTGGGATAATTCAATTCCGGAACGTTCAATCGAGTATCTTCCATGTAAATGCTGTACGGTTCAGTAATTTTGAGACTTGCTAGGGTTTTTGCCTTGATGGAGTTCGATCATGAGCATTTTATGCTTGGGCTAGGCAGAGATAAGCAATTTGATTGATCAATGCTTTGGGACATGATAACTTTGATTCTAATTGAGTGAGAGTGATGAAACTTGGTGTTTTTTTCACTACATCAAAATCTGGACAAAGTTCAATCACAAGCATTTCTACCTAGCCAAAGTTTGATTGCTCCTTGCTTTACAAAGAGATAAATGTGCAATTAATTAATATGTGTCATCTATTTATTTGGAGATTTTGGGGGGTTGGATGGCTGAATGGTTAGCGTGTGCACGCTGTATCATAAAGTCTGTCATTGAGTCAACTGGCGTGGTTTCGAATCCCCGGTTGTACGTGGCAAGGAGTAGGGTCGCCTGTCCAACCTCGTGGGTTTTCTCCGGGTCCTCCGGTTTCCTCCCACTGCTAAAGACCCCTACGCGCAAGCGAATTATTGAAATAAAATTAAACCATATGTTAGTCCCGAAATGACCTAGTTTGTGTCGAGTGGACGTTAAAATCCATTTCTCTCTCTCACTCTATTTTGAGATTGAGGTAGGGGACATTAGACTCAATGTTGGCTTGCTATCTTGTCATAAGGAGGAAACCTATTGAAATCATATTACTGCTTCTGTGGTTAATACCTTGTAAACTATCAATATTTTTTATACGCCCACATTTTAATGTCGACATATATCGTTGTCACCCCTGTCTGTCTGTTCACATTTTGTTTTTGGACACAATTGTTATCAGATGTTGATGAAACTTAAAATATATATATTCCAAAGATCTTGGTTCCTTTCGATATTGACCCATGTCGGACAGTAACGTTGTGGATTATGGCCCCTGACTGTAAGCAAAATTGCTTTTTGTAGGGGACTATTAAAATGGGTTTGTCTGTCTGTCCGTGTGTCAGTCACACTTTTTGGGACACAATAACTCTCCTTCTAATTGAGCTAGAACGTTTAAACTTGGTGTAGGTGTTTATAAGGTTAATGCCTTGATGGAGTTTGAAGATGAGCATTTTCTGCTTAGGGTAATCCTATCTGACCTGCCTATCAATTTTATTTAAAGTTATTGTTTCTGATGCTTTAAAAAGATGCTGATGGCCATATTTGTTCTCTTGCAATGTTGTGTTTATCTCATTTCAAGCATGTGCACGTTTTATTGCCCATATAAAGAATTAATGACAGTTAATGTTTCATTGAATAGAATCTGTTCTACTCACGTCTAATAATTTCAACCTATAAATAGTTTTAAACTTTTGAATCGTGCTAGTGGACTGATTAGAAATATATTTATTGAAGTTTAAAGTTAAGAATATAAAAGCTTTTTGATGTTGTATTTGAATAAATTTGTACGGACTTAATGAGGAGAAATGATTATTCACATAAATGTAAAAGAATTTTGATGTCCTGATTGAATAATTTTGTATGGATTTAATGAGGAGAAATGATTGTTGATATAAATAGAATTCTATAGATGGATGAGGTCAGGATGATATCTCCTGATCGTTGTTACAGTGAGGTCGAGCTGCTCTTTGGTCTAATGTGTCCGCTTTACGTCAGAAGGTCAATCATTGAGTCAACTGGCATGGTTTCTATTCCCAGGGAGTCATGAATCTC